CATTTAAGTGTGACAAACATGCAAAAAAATAAGAAATCAGGAAGGGGCAAACACTTTTTCACAACTGTATCTATCAATCCATTATATCCTCATCCTCAGAGGGTCTAGGGGGACTGGAGCCAGTCAGCCATAAGCATCTACTCCACACAGAGGGGAGAGCCCTGTTGCTGTGAGGGGACAGTGCTAGCCCCTGCACCAGCCGTATATTTCTAATGTCAGTTTTATTAGCATGTGCCATCATACAGTATTTCAGTTAAGGGCTGCCTGTTTTCTGATCTGCTCCTGTTCCTTCATGTTCACCTGAAGTCTTGATACTTTCAGTGTGACGTACATTAACTCCATCAGTACTTCAGAGTCATGTCATACTCACCACTCTGCTGCTCTCTCTTTGCTTCTCTAACAAGTACCGATCGTTCACTTTATTTTTGTCTTCCGTCTTTATTAAGCTTCTGTGCAGAAAGTGTAGAGTTTAATTCACTGATGTTTCCAATTAAAAGCCTTCCAGCTACCGAAAGGGCATAATCCCTCCCATTCCTGGTAGGCTCTTCACTGCTCAAAACGGAGCCACTGTGTCCTGCACTACATCCTGTTGGCATTTATGTGGCATAGAAATATTCCCTTTTCCTTTAACTCAGTCCTCAGTTGCTCTCACCTCCTCTACTTCCTGTTCATCAACTCCAGGATCAAACATGGAGCCCAGGTAGGTGAGGTGGAAGATGGCCAGGAAGCTGAAAACCAGGTTTAGCAACATCACCCAATACTCCTACAGACCAGAAGAAGAAGAATAAACTGTGAAACAGTCACAAGAACATCTTCATAGTGTCTCTCATTCTTTTAAACCCTTGAGGACAAACATAAGACCCCTGGACATCTTTGCTGACTTCCAGTGGTTTAACTTGTCCCCTTTCAGCAGTGATGTAGAGGTGTACTCCAGGACCCTGTGACATCACTGCTGGGTGCTGTTACAGGTGTAGCCAAGCACATTTCTGAGCTACGTGTCGGAAAAGACGGGGCCCACTCGAGTTACAGGTTCATTTTATTCATAAACCCGGTTTACAGAAAATGAGGCTGACATCTGATTGGCTACAGATAGGTCCATGTTGAAAAAACGCATTTGCGAATGCAGCCACGTCAGGGGAGTCTCAAAAAACCCACACAAAAATGTGGAGCCATCCACACACAAATGCATACAAATGCAGAAATATATTTGTGATTTTTTTTTTACATTTATATAAATCGTAATTTATTTATGTGTGCATTGGAATGTATTTGTGAATTGTTCTGCGTGCATTTGTGAGTCTGTGTGCATTTACAATTATTGAGACTGATCTGACCCCATACACTTAAGCTTCTAAGATAGCTCAGCAGTAGGTAGGTACCCTTCTGACACTGAATACCATGCTGTGGGTTTTTTTCATGCCCCCTGTAACTAGATTACTAACCAATGCAAAGCATTTTGCTCAGGTTTCTGTTGATCTCTTGACGTACGTCTGTGTGTGTGTTGATTGCTTAGCATCGCTCACAGAGCTGCATAGAGCTGAAGCTGTACCTTCTTGTGCTGGTGGCTGCAGTCAGAGGTGCAGGCCCTGGACAGGATACAGGCACTGAAGATGGATGCAAGCTTCTTTCTCAGAACTGAGGAAAAGAAAAAGAATAACCATTCAGGTGTGAGAAACATACTGATTAACACTATCACAGTAGGCCCAGAGTACACAGAGAAACCAGCTTCCTAGATCAAGTCAAAATGTCATCTGTGCAGGAGAAAGGGATGGTTCTATTCTACCTTTAATGGTTCAACTTTCACAGTTAAATACAAGCTGATTTTTCTCTTACCATGTTCAACATATGTGATGAAGCCCAAAGAGAGCAGAACAGCTCCCAGGTGAAAGCTCAGACCCTGAAGAAAACAAACAGCACATTAAGTTCAAGTAGTGACAGTCAATCATTCAACATCTACTGCCCACATTCCTGTCTCTGAGCAAATTCATGTTTCAATGATATGCCCTAGTGTGTCTAGTGACCAGAGAGAACTACAGGTGGTCTACCTGTATGTTAAACATCAACATTGTCCATCAGTGAACAGTTAAAGTCACATGGCACAAACAGACAAGAGATTGTAGTTTATCATGTGTTCCCATACTGAAGTGAAAGAAGATGGGCTTCCAACCCAATAATGACTGTCTCGAACATATTGCATCTTAGAACGGCCACCAATACTGTGGAGAGAAGTGTGCATCATGTTACTAACGTGCAGTAAGGCGCTGGCAGTGTACGTCACCAGGATGGCTGGAAAAGTCCCCAGTTTCATGGCGTTTTTAAAGGCATCTGATGAATATGGAATAGAACACAATAAACACAACACAATGACTTTATATAGATCAAGTTTGTAATGTAACTTTCATAAAAATCATGAAAATACAAAACTTTTAATGTGACAATGAGGTGATACTACCCAGTAGCAGCAAAACTGTAAATACCAAGAAGGCTTCAAATAACTCATATTTTGTTTTTGATTAATCTGCCACAGGGATGCCGAAAACTTTAGGATATTTAGTTCACTGCCGTATATGACTAAGACAAAAAGCAGCTCGTCACAGGGAAGCTGGGAGCAGCGGATATTTGGAATTATTAATTAATAAATTGATCTTCACAATAATTGCAAATTAATTTTCTATAAATACCAGACAAAGATGATACTGCTCAGTCTTTCACTCAACAGGTCGGAAATACGTCAAGAGTAACATCAGAGAAACTCAACAACGTCACCATTGCCAAAGTCCCATTGAAACGGAAGGTAGAGCGTCTGTAGCTTCTGTACTGGGACGCATTTCAAAGAGAAACGGAATATTTAAGAGGTGTACATTTACAACAGAGTTCTAAATCAAATCCTTTGCATTTGATTGGAACACTACAAAGTGGGCGGGCTTAGAGGACTGTTTCTCCACACACATCTCCCTCAGCTGTTAGATCAGGAGGAGGATGAAGAAGAGATGAATCTTCATCCGGCTCTGTTTCACTGCAGCGATCAGTACATGCAGATGAACTTCCTCCCTCCGTGCTGCCAGCACCAGAAGACGTTCATCTGCATGTACTGTTGGTTGAAAAGCTGCAACATTTCTTTCGAATGAGTCAGATCTCAGCCACTTTGTTGTTGAAATGAAAACAACACTTTTGCCCACTGATATCCAAAAGCATCTCATCCTGTCTCTCCATATTGCTCGATTAGCTACTACGATCCACAAACACACTTTTTCATGAGCGGTGAGGCTAGCTAGTCATCCAAAGTCTCATTTGATTGGAGGATTTCTTGTAAATACCCCTGAGTGATGGATGAGTCTTTAAACATTTGAAGCATCTTACAGAAGAGAAAAGACAGGCATTTGATGTAAATACAATGTTTGATCATTCTGGAGTGTTTCAAGTGGAGTTGAGGACTTACAGGTTTTTAGCCATCTGGACATGGGGATGTTCCAGGACGTCACCACCAGCACCATGGAGCGAGGCATTTCCACACTGAGAGGCTTCACCACACGCATATCCCTGCATTAGAACACACAGATACAGAGTATTGGGGAATATGGTGTTCACTCATTCAGCCCTCTATCAGGTCTGCGCTTGGTGAAATGTGATGACTGGTGTTGAGCACTAGCAGCCTGCTAGAGAGGAGCGTACTACGAAGTGAGTTGGATAGAGCCAGGCTTTCTTTGCGATAGTTGGCTCGACAAAACCTAAAGCTCCAGTCGGAGATAAGTGGTACCACGACGGTGGTTTTATAATATAATAACAGTCTTTGTTAACCAGGTTTTCTTCAGCAGGCTCTGCACGTTCCCATAAAAGGGGTCGTTTGACGTCATTTGACTCTTCTACTGCACTGAATGAACCGGTCTGTGCGGCCTACTTCAGTCAAGAGGAGCAATTTTCTAATTAGCGTTCTATTAGCCTCGATACCAGCAGTTTAAAATTAGGACCAAGCATGAAAAGTTTGAAAACATAATACAAAGTGGCATGAAGTTGCTGTGCCCTCATTGTTCTTTTAGTGTATTGATGATATGCTGATTAATATTTGAAGTGTTAATATTACCTGATGCAAACAGGGAAAAATGAGAGGAGGAAGACTGAGAATACACCTCCACCAGAATACACAACTGATGCTGTATGTGGGTGCAAACTACGGCCCCAGGGAATCTTATGAAGGAAATATACCGCATTTCATCTGCAAGTAAACATCATCCTGACTAATAACATAATGAACTATTAATGTATGCTGCCTGGGATTTTATAGAAAGCATCTTTTAGAGCCAGCGTGAGAAAATGCCTGAGAACACTACAAACATATTCTGGAGTTCAGTGAGAGAGACGACAACTTTGTGGACAGCGCAGCCTACAGTGTTAAAACTCAGATTTATCATCATGTAAAGGTCTCCTGGTGCATAGTTCTCATGGCTTCGTTGTGCATATCACTCATAAAGGGCATCGTCTGGAAAAGCCAGCCGGTCTATACGGTGTCTGACCTCTGACGAGACCCTCTTACAGGTCTGAAACTGAGGTCACAGGATTTTACAAGTATGGTGAGGTCATTTCCAAAGAAGTTGATGAGTGAAAGATGCTTTAGACACGATTTCAATCTAAAACTGAACAACCTCCTCCAGAGGAGGTTAGGTGTTCATGGCGATTTAGCCAGCTTCAAAGAGAGCCACCTTTGTGACATTGAAAGATTTGGGCTCAACCTACCTGGCTAAACCACTGATCTCACTCTGTAGTACACCCCTCAGCTCAGACCCAGCTCAACTTACCATCTGATGTTGTCCTTTTCTTCAGTGAAGCCTGCACCAGCCAGCATGCTGGTGCCTTCACTGAGGTGACCCACAAAGTAGTTACTGAAGTGGAAGGACACTGCATTCTCATAAGCATGAAGCCACCTGGTCAGCACACAAGACAAACACATGTTATCTTTGGTTGGATTCCCAACTCAAACTCTTTGGTCAGCTGAACTTCTTCTGAGAGGACATCTTAACCTGCGTAGAGTTGAAGTTAAGAGCTCCTCTGGCACAGATTACTTCAGGGCACTTAAATAATCTGATTATTCCCACTTTCCCTAGAAAAGAGGGAACTTCAGTCACAGGATAACAATATAGAATCATTTGCTATCATATGACAGAAAGGACTATACCAGTGGCTTTGCATGTTAAAGGGAAAGCTCACCCCACAATCAATACATATTCATACATATTATCCTGTTATCTGTAGAGCTAGTTATCAATCTACATTATTTTGGTGCTTGGTTCCTAGATGAAACTTCTCACAACAAGGTCTGTGGATTATCTTGAGTAACCAGGTCAAGAAACATAGCTGTTGAAATTTTCAAATGTCTTTTTGGAGCTTTGAGCACCACAAGATGAGGACCATCTAGTCCCATTAAATAGGACAGAAACATATTCTAAATATTCTTTTTACTCAGTTTCCCTCTGCTCACCTCATCCCCTCCTTGGTAGAGTCTGGCTCAAACTATTACGCTGCAACAGACTGCAGGAAATGTAATCGTCCTGTTCATCCAATGATGGATCACATGCGGGTTTGTGTAGCAGTACGATGTGTGTAATGTGGCTAAAACTCTCTTTCACTCTGAAGTCATCAAAACCATTTTTGTAGACCATTCAAGTAAACTCACTGTCAAATTTATGACAAGTGTTTACGCTACTCATGTCTCATAATTATTTAGATTCCCTGCTGAGTCTCCAAACATCAAAGCTTATGAATGCAATGCTGTGTGGCAGTCAGACCTGCACCTGAATGCACCACCAGCAGGGATAGCAGATCACTCTGTGATTGCAACACCATCTCAACTCTGAACGTGTGACGTATTAAGACGTGTGTTGTGTAATGATGCATTAGCTAATGGTGGACTGAACCCAAAGGGCCTCTGGAGGGTAGGAAAACGCATTTAAAAAATGACCACGCCATTTGTAGGAATTGGGAAATGGTTTTCAGTGATGTGGCTCATGGGCTAGAGCGGGTCGACTTTTAATCACAAGGTTTTTGGTCTGATCCCCGGCTCCTCCTGTCTGTGTGTCGAACAGAACCCCAAATTGCTCCCCGGGTGCTTTACAGCAGTGATTCTCAACTGGTGGGTCACGACCCAAAAGTGGGTCGCGGACCCGTTTTACCCTTTGCCTGACAAAATAAAAATAAAAAAGTGATTTTATTTTGAAGGGCATTTTTTATGCACCGGTATTATTCCAGCATTTAAGGCACTTGTTCAGCGGTGCAGGAAAAACACCGACCAATGCGGTGTGAATCACATCACGTGATGCAGCTCAGCCAATCAAATATGGGTATTCTGACAAGTTTCCTGACTGTCATCTGACATCAGTGAGATGTACAAACACCGTGACACGGGGGAGAGATGAGGAGATAGACAGCAGAGCAGGACTGTTGTAGTGTGAGTTGTGAAAGTCAAATCATAGGACGATTTCCAAAAGAGAAAATGACCAGAGAGACCAGAGTCATTAGACTCTGACTGGACAGACTCATATAGGTGAATTCTTCCAACACTAATTTCTCTTTTTAGAAGATGAGAAAAAATATTATATTGTGGATTCATCACTTCACCCTGAATGACCTGAATTTAAAGCTGCAGGGCAATTCAGTGAAAATAATTTTTCTAAAATGAATTTCGTTACGTAATTTAATCTAGCTTAATCCAGCTGTTATTTTACTTGAAATGAGAACATTTATTCATGGATTTCTATGTATTATTTATAATCCATCCAGTTACATTTCAAAAATGAGAATAATTATATATATATATATATATATATATATATATATATATATATATATATATAAAAATAATTTGGGTCGTGGCTTGTCATTAAGGGGTGATGGTGGGTCCCGCAGCCAGAGCAGTTGAGAACCACTGCTTTACAGCAGCCCACTGCTCAGATGCAGAAGGCAAATAACATGTATGAGCCTTTATGTATGCGACGATTGAAGTTTTAAGTTGTAAGGATAGGATGATTGTACAAAACCACTAGTATGGTCCTTTGAAAGGTTCTCTATATAATATTCAGAGCATTAATATAGCAGCAAACAACTATGTTCAATGTAAAGATTAGCGGTGTAACAGATCATTGTTGATCTGTGATCTGGATTAATGACGGTTTACCTTCGCCATCACAGTGTGAAATGAAGTTTTACTGACATCGTTATCCGCCAATGTTCAGTAAAATATGCGATCAGGACATCATTGATGCTTTCTCTTGGCCGATCTCCGATAATGTTACATTGTAAACAGCCAATCCGGGTTGAAAATGACCGCAGGAGAGCTGGTAAAGTGGCTAATGGACAACGGACCAAGGTTCCATTGTGATGCGTTCAGGCTCTGTTCGGTGAAAATCAGTATTGAGCGAAGGTAAATCATACCGTTATCATGATGTGTTCACGTGTAATCTTGTAGAATGTATGTTGGTGAGAAACTTGAATAAATCCAGTTGTTTGAAGATGTTTTCACAGCAACATAAATAGATATTAGAGGGAACTATAACCTGTTTACACTAGCTCCGATAATCATTAAAACTAATAACGACAAGATTTGTTTTTAAATCAAAGAAAATACGATCTTTTATTTCCTAATCATTTGAATTGTGTGCCTTTCTGAAAAAACACTATAAATAACTTTAACAAAGTAAAAGGATAACATTTTGAATAGTTGAAGGTTTACAGACTTCAGAGTGGTTGAAAGTATTTTTGGGACGGTGGCATAAAGAAAGAAAGTCTGGATCCTTGTAGACCAGCTGCTATAATCAAACAACAAAGGGATCTGTATCTGTTAATATGGATCATCAATGATCAGTTCGTATCAGCGGCAAAGAGACACATGATCAGTGATCTCTGAAACTTATATTTGCTCCTTTTTTTGAAGATACAGGGGAGTAATGTCTGCTGAGCAGAGATGGAGCTAGCGTGGCCCACTGGTTAGCTCACGGCCACTGCTCTTCACCGCTCTCATACAGGAGCTACAGCTGATCAGGCAGTCGGTCACAGAAGTGTAGCACCCACCTCATGTAAACACTGTTGGCTCTATCAACATTGTTGCCGTAAGTGCTTTTAGCAATGTTAACGCTGTTAGCTGTGAACTGCCAGCTCAGCCGCCGCCATGTTGTAAGGTGTACGGAGACAATAGAAATGCTGTGAATTTTGCATATAGCACCTTTAATTTCCAAATTTAGGCCACATGTTGACAACATCTCCATCCACTGATGAAGACTGTAAGATGCAGGCGAAAAGCTAAAAGCTAGTAAGCGGACCGTAAGTTCATGATTTGTCAATGAAGCCGATAGTTGATTACTGTAACATCATTCTGATGCTATAATCAAGCACAGTACTTTTAAACTGAACTTTGGACAGTTGGCCGTGTGCTATCTAGCAGTATGACAAATAAGTAATTAGTTATTTTGAACTCACTGCAGTAGACTTATGGGAGCCTGTGGGGAAACCAGTAAGTTCTAACCCTGAGAACAAGCCTTACCTTTCTCAAATGTATCTTGGAAGCAGGGAAAGAAAGACAAAGAGTATGTTGATAAACCAGAGTATTGGAACAGCTGTTGTATTGGAAAACTACCTTAGTTGAAGGAGGAAAACCATTTCAATAATGATTTCAATGATGATTTGCCTTACTTCTGTGTGACTGTGCTTCCATAGATGGGGATTAACAAAGGGAACAGGTAAGGGGCGACGCAGGTGGAGACCAGCAGACAGATCTGACTCTTCAGCAGGCTGAGGGAGGAGCTACGCAGCCACAACCAGCTCTGAGGAACAAACCACCTCATCACCACCACAGTACTATACATGCATAAATAATAGAATGCACACTGAAGCTGGAAACATGAACTACTCACCAGTTTTGTGCCCTCAATGGCGTTCTGATAAGTGGAGAAGCTGATCCAAGGGCCGAAGACAACAGTGCCAACAAAAAGAACATAACCCAGGAACTCAGCTGGGGAGGGCAGGCTGCCCACTGTTCCTCTGTCCAGGTCAAAGGCCAGAGAGATGGCCTTCATGGCCACCACCATCTGAGAGCCTGACATACACACACACACAGACACTTCAGAAACACACTAGGCATCTAACAGGATCATGGTTGGACGTATTGAAAAAGTAGACCTTGTTTTATCGAGTTGAAACAGCACATGACCCCAACAAACTTTCATACTGATGTTTCTTTCTGAATATTGCTGTTGTAGCAACATGTTTACTGAATGCAGTTAATATAGAAACATTTGTAACAAGGCTAGTAGTTTTCTTGACTTAGTAAATATTAGAGTGTTGATCTCAAAGGTGGCCGGTTTGTTCTCTGTGGAGATAAGCGATAATTGCAATTGTGTTTTTGGATCTCAAGCAGTGTTGTCATAATGCAGCAAATGCAGGGCTTACATCAGTCCCCATTGTGTTACGTCACTCGGCGATAGATGGTGACTGAACAGCAGTGGTGGGCCGTCAGGGCCAGCTAAGCCTTCTCTGCTGGCCTAAACAGAATATAACACAAAGTTATAGCTATTTTATAATTTTTCACAAATACACTACATGTATTATAATTTTTTCCCCCATTAGCTTATTTTCTCATTGCACAGCTCCTGTCTTCCTTTGTTGCTCTGCTTCCAGCACAGCTTGTTTTAAGTAGAGCTTTTATCCAATCAGATTCAGCCCCTATGTCTCTATGTAAGGAGAGAGGCCCGAGGCCCTCTAGGTAGACTTTGCAGATTAAAGTATATGGGGACGATATTGTTGATTGTCAGTCTTCAACCAATCAGATCTTTAGTTTGACATGTTGGGTGTATTCTTTGACGTGCCAGTGCTACCCAGGTAGCCTGCTAAGTACGTCAGCATTAACGTGCGCCGTGATTGGTCAGTGTGCCATCGTGACTTTTGTCAAACAGAAAGCTAGCTAGCAGATCTTAGTGTTTAGTAAGAGTTCAGGTTGAAACATATGCAAGAGAAGTTATGACATTTTTAGCGTTTTGCTTGCTGTAGATTATTTTATTTTTTTGCCTAGCTTTGTTTTTTTTAACAACGGCTGAAGGAGGAGAAACGGATTTCTCAAGACCAGAAAAACTGGACATCGTATCAAAGGGTCGGTCAACCCCACAGCTAGCATGGAAAAGGTTTTGTACCAACGGTATTTCTGGCTGACAGCGGCGGAGAAGCGTTGCACATTTTATGGCTAAGAATGAAACTTTTGCTGAGACCCGAGTGGATCTACAACTCAACGACCACGTTCGCAGGAGGACCTCTGGCTGGAACTGAACTGATGTTCTGTACAACTAAAGAAAGGAGGATGGACTTTGTTTTTAAGTGAACAGCAGCTGTGGTAAGTGAAGTGCTTTTGTGTTTTTACATCTGCAGTAGCCTTATGCCGTGTTTACACCAAACGCAGTGCGAATTGTTCGCGCCGCAGGTCTCGCAGGGGACTATTTGTGTTAATTGCCGTGAATCGCGCTGGACGTGCCGGATAGGGGGCGTGGCTTATCGCCCTGGAAGCCGTTCAACTGTCCACCATCAACTGTGGAAAAAAATAACCTCTATTTCTGCTTAGTACGTGTTGTGGAAGTCACAGATATCACGTGAAACTAAACGCCGTCATGTCTGGTTCATAACAAAGTCCAGAGGAGCTCTGTGGATTTTATCGAGCTGTATTCACTGTGTCTAGCAAGCCACGGCTGTTTACTACAGCTGTATGATCACAAAATAAACTGATTTGGCTGTGATTTAACGGCAATAAAAAGGGACTCCGAAATAACTACGTAATGATGCCGATTTGTAAAAAGTCTGAATTCATGATTAGTTAGTTCTCTCCGCAAGGTTTACACATTTATACACATAGTTTGGTCCGGTCTCTATTGATATGAGGTATCGTAGAGCTTTGGTGAACACAGACGGCTACAGTATTTATTTCCTGATTCAACAACGGCAGGAAGTCAGTGATGACAGGAGAAACATCTCAACGCTGATAGGCTATCGCGCCCGATACGATATTTTTCCCTGAAGTTGAAGAATTTCAACTCACGCGTTTGGCCCGAATTCACGCCTCGCCATCGCAAATTCGCGTCACTCCAGTCTCATCGCGTCTGTGCATAGACTTTGTATGTAATCTACTCGCATGAATAATTCGCGCCGTGTTTGCTGTGAACGCACCATTACTACTGTGTTCATTTGTCTCCGATGTGAATAATATTTGAATGGCTCGTGCTCTTCAGTGTGCGGTGGAATACGCGTGTTAGCGCCACAGTGTTGCTGGATTGATTTGTCATGCGTTGTTGTCATATGTGACTGGTTCATGCGAGTTTGTTCTTATTATTGTGTTAATTACATTTTCCAAATGCACTTGTATTATTCAAACGTATTGTTCGGTTCGTAAACCTCGTACCGAACGGTTTAATATGAATACGTGTATTGTTACACCCCTAGAAACAAATAATAACCGTACCTGGGCCGTCATCATGAGGTTATTCAACTGTAGTAGGACAGCACAGAAGGCCCAGTTATAAAATGCATGGCCCGCCACTGCTGAACAGACATTTATCTTAGTGAATATTTTCGAGATCCTAACTTTAAAGGGGCCCTTCACTCATCAAGGTTAGGCCTACTCAGTCTGTCAAACTGTTGTAAAGTGTGGCTCTGCTCTGGAAGGAACATTCTGAAGGCTGAGAATAATAACCCTGATGTCGTCATCATACTTTATATTATTATTTCTAAGTATACAACAGTTGAAAAAAGATCATGAGATTGATCTTCGATGAAGTTCTCTGAAGTTTACCTTTCCTAAATACATTGTTGTGGAAAATGCTTATTATATCCTCTTTGAAACACTGAACTGCTGTAGACTATACTGCAACTTCTTTTTCACATCCAACAGAGAAGCTTTACCCCAGACACAATGTAGTAGCTATGGAAACACTGCAGTATTGTAGAAATTAAGAGGAAAAAAAGACTTCAGTGACGCTACTCTCAAACCAAATGATGGAACGTTTACCTCTGATTTTATGCCAGGTCACCATGTCAATCAAATGCAACTCTCTGAAATGAAAAAGGAAGAAAACTAAGTTTACAAGGCTTCTATATTCTACTACACAAATGTGTAGGTTTGGAGACTAACACAAACAAACTCACTGAGGAAATGGTTAAACTACAACAGGAAGTGCAGACGTTGTTGACTGTGCAATAATTCAACAAGCAATGTCATTGTATGATTAACTAATGGTAGCAGACACACAGCCTCACTCACACAAACAAACACATCGATGTTCATTGAACCAAAACGGTTCAATGAACATCAAAACAGATGCAATGATGTTGTTCTGAAGTGGGTTTAACAATCTGAACAATCAATCAAACTGTAAACAGTGTATGAGAGTGTTGTTGCAGTTTGCAGCACTACATCACTGCTGCACAGTGTGTGGGCAAAGCATGTAGTCACCACTAGCTGGAGATACAAGTGGCATACTGTCTCAATGGACATATCCAGGACAACTGATTTTCTGTTTCTATGTGAAAGCTCCAATTATTCATATCGGTCTCCAGGAAACTAGGTGTTCTTTGCACTGTTTTCTCACCCAACAAGGAGGTAGATGAGGATGACAACCGAGAGGAAGAGGCCTCTGCTGCTGGAGTGTCGGCTGAGGAGCAGAACAAGGTAACAGAGCGCACAGAGCCACAGCACCCACAGCATGTGCAGTTCAAAAAACAGGAAGAGGCCGTAGACCCCAGACAACGCCGACACTACATGCTTCACAGTGGACACACCTCCTAAGGAACACAAGCAGGAAGACAATAGGAATTGCACTCAAGTCCAACGGTCTATTGTTTCCCTAATAAGGCTTACATCTGACTGAAATACATCACATGGAAATGGGTTAAATTTATGTCCATTCTAGCCATGTCCAGGTGTAATAAACATGTATGACATGGTAAATCTACCATTATGAAAAATTCCTCTAATTATGAAAAGCTAAATATCACAATACAATCTTGGATTTCCTGATAGACAGAATGTAGTGGTCTGGACCCGGTCAAATCCAGGATAGGAGATGTGTTGATCGAGGAACATTATCTCATTATGTCAGTACGGACAATATCTAAATTGCTTCCAGCTATGTCCATATGAAACAATAGATAAGACGAGTCTTCCTGTGAATGCTCCTACTTGCTAATTTGCAGTGTAGCTCACCCAGTCTGAAGCAGAGTCTACAGATGAGGCAGAGGAGGAGCAGCCTCCAGACCTGCTGTAAGCCCTGCTGGACTGTACTGACCCCACAGCTCTCAGCCAGCTGCTGCAGCACTAACAGTCTACTGGACATGTCCATCCTGCAGCTCAACACAAACTACGGATTAGAACTTTAATCAAACCATAAAATAAAAGTATCACTGGATGACGCTGAGATCAATTGAATTACATCCAAAGGGGTTAGACTACTTAGACAGCGCCTCTGGTCAGCAGCACGGACTACTATCAGTGTCAACACATGCGGAGCATTAGGACGTTAGGCGCGTCTTCTCCACATAGCCCACCTCTACAGACTCGAACTGAGCTACCTGTGGCCTGCTATCTTGCTATAACGTGCGACACATGCTTCACTAACTAGCGTTAGCTTAGTAAGCTAACGTTGGATATAACTTGTCTAACTTTGTAAACGCAAACACCGCGTTAACCACGTAACGTTAGCTAGATGCTTTCAGGAATGTCGCGTGCTAACGTTACCGTGAACTTGTTGACTGATTGGTGGTTACGTTGACTTTAGATCGCGATAGTTCTGGAAAACAAATCAGCGCATTTTCAGTGAAATGTGGCAGGGCCGGACAGAAGTGCAGTTGGCTAACGTTCCAGCTACACTCATGTATTACTACAGTTAGTCAGACAGCTGCAGATGAGGGTAAAGGCGACATGTCCAGAGCTAATACAAGCCTGGATGCTGCGAATTCACATTCTCATAACGTTTACTTCCGTTCCCTAGTAGTCGTCGTCGTCGTCCTCTTCTTCTTCTTCGTCTTCGTCTTCTTCTTCTTTACGGCTCGCTCTTCTTCTTTACTGGTGGTTGAGTGGTTGGTTGAAAATAAGCTTATTGGCACATTACCGCCACCTGCTGGACGGAAGTGTTTAGCCGCACGAGGAGCTGACTGAATTCCCTACTGTCTGTCCAATGAGACCTTTTGGTGAAATATCATGCTCTCACTGCATGTTTTGTATCGCTGAGTATTTATAGGCTGTATTTGAGCAGCTCAGTGTACACAGTGAAGTAGCCTATATGGTATAATTTTACTGTGATGGCATTCTTGTTATTCTCATGTCATGTTTATGAGACATTCTGGGATGATATGAGATGGAATGTAATGTCATAATCAAATAAAGATATGTGATTGTATTGTACTGCTGGTAATGCTGCTTTAACTATTGTTACAACTATTACTCATATTGGCTATTGCTAGTGCCATTACTACCCATTACTGCTAATACTCAAGCATGGTGGTGTAGTAGTGTTCTCAACTCATGGGCCCTGGGCTTAAATCCTGACCCCTTCTAACTGGAGTTTCAAAGTTATCCTCATGGACTGGGTTTCCTCCAGGTTGTCTCTTCTAAGAGGAGATGCATAAGGTACTATACTGTACCTATAGTTATGAAGAGTACTGCCCCGGACCAAGGCACTGGCCTCAGAAGTGAGCACTGTGCTACCAACGGTCCCTGACTAGCTTCCTAAGATAGGTCAAACACAGAGGCTACACAGTATTTCCCCCCGGGAATCAACTCAATAATGACTGAACATAGACTACTTATGTATACTGATACCTGCTCTCACATAGCAGTTTATGTGTATGCAGAACTTTATTTATTAGTGCTGATTAATTGGATTCATGGCCCAGTGTGTGTGTGTGTGTGTATTTCAGGGGGGTATTATCAGCTCTACCATCTGTTGTGTGGTTTCAAGACCTGATATGAGTCAGTCACTGGGAACAAAAGTTTTCACGCTGGCATAGTCCGTCCTCCAGATGCTTAGCGGCTCCTGAAATATTGACACCGTCACCACCTCCATCAGCACAGACCGGGCCAGGCAGGGCGGCCCCTGTGTGAGCTGCGACCGTCTGTAGCTCTCCTGTGCTCCTGCAGGAGGCAGTGTAGCGGGTGTTTCTGTCCATGGTGCTGAAGATTCGGCTGGCTCTGTCCGGGGTGCTGAAAAGCTCGGGGCTGCTGGGCTCAGTCTGAGGCTGCTGCTATACTGATCCAGTCCTTCCGCAGTGTTTTGGCGGTGAGCTGTGGTTGCAGTCCCTGTAGAAGGTCTATCTGCCAGTCCGGAGATGTCGAAGCGGAGGGGGAGGGGAGCGTAAGGTAAGGCGTTATGTCTCTCTGACAAAGAGCGTGAAGCGCACTTATTTGTCGGTATTTTCTGGGGCCTTGGGCCTTACGGGGGATTCCACACCGAGCAGGGAGGACGTGATGAAGCTGTATAAAGGCTAGCCCACCGCGGATGTCAGACTGCTTTCTGCCGGTTTTCCTTTAGCGGAGAATAATTTCTGCCCTCCGAATGCGCGGACGGTCGGGCTTTATAACAGATTACTATCGTCGGTGATGATTCCCGGCCCCTACAATGGCGGCCCGGTGTCGATGCAGTCAATTTATTAAAAGTCTAAACCGCGGAACGCCGGTGGCCTTTGTATGTGTTGTGTTTTCTAAGAAGAGAAGAGCGAGGCCTCGTGGTTCTCAGCCCGGCCTTCATCTCTACTGTCACCGCACAAGAAGCGTATAAGCCTACAAACTACTTGATATTCGCACTTGGGTTTGTGTGTGAAATGTTCTGTCAGGCGAAATGTAGAAGCCGTCAATCCACATTGAAAGTGACGCCATGCTGAGCACCGCTGTCTTCTGTCACACTGACATCCATCACATACCTCCGTGTTCTATATCCAAGAGCATGACGAATCTTCAAATGGAATTATATGTGACACATGATATATTTTTTCTTATAAGTTTTCTCTTTAACTAATTCATTTATTATTATTACTATTTATTTTTGATCTTTCAATATATATTTCATATATATCATTGTTTATTACATATTTAATTGTGTGATGTTTTTGATAGTACTGAACTCTTAATTACACCATTGAATGTATTCAATTAAACCACAACACTTTCTACAGTGTATTGTCAGCATCATCTATATTCTGTAGCTGTGTGCTGCAATACGTTGGGCCAGAATGGCTAAACTGACGAATATGATACAAATATTTTATCTGATAAAAGAAATATTTCCTTTTCATCACCAGCTCACAGTAAAGGGTTTCTGTGTGTGTTTCATCCAACAGAAAATGAGTTCAAAGGTCAGACACTGAGCCAGTGGTGGACCAGGGGAAAGCAATCAACCAGCAACAAAGTATTTCTCTCTCTATCCATCCCTCCCTCCCTCCCTCTCTCTCTCTCTAGCTATCTATCCATCTATCTATCCATCCATCTATCTATCTATCTATCCATCAATCCGTCTGTGTGTCTGTCTGTCTGCCTGTGTGTTTGTCTGTCTGTCTGCCTGTGTGTCTGTGTGTTTGTCTGTCTGTGTCTTTGTCTGTCTGCCTACCTGTGTGTCTATGTGTTTGGCTGTCTGTCTGCCTGTCTGTCTGTGTGTTTGTCTGTCTGTGTGTTTGTCTGTCTGTGTGTTTGTCTGTCTGTCTGTCTGTTTGTCTGTCTGTCTGTCTGTTTGTCTGTCTGTCTGTCTGTGTGTTTGTCTGTCTGTCTGTCTGTGTGTTTGTCTGCCTGTGTGTTTGTCTGCCTGTGTGTTTGTCTGTCTGCGTGTTTGTCTGTCTGTCTGTCTGTGTGTTTGTCTGTCTGCCTACCTGTGTGTCTGTGTGTTTGTCTGTCATCATTAACGGATCTTGCCTCCCTCTTTTTTTCAGATGAGCCAAGACACTGCAGAGACACGAACACGAACCCGCTCCAAAGGAAGCCGGGGTCAGTATACACGCGCACGTGCACACACACACACACACACACACACACACTGAGGGGGTGCAGGGTGTACATGAATGTGGGCCCCCACGTGTAAAAACATGGTATCTTGCTAAAAGGTTCTCTAGGACTCCAGTGTTGGAAGATAACCTGGCGTCAGGTTTACTGTGTGTCAAATGATTTTCTAGTTAATTGATACATTTACTATTTTCCTCAATAGATTTGGCTCATTTCATGACACTTAACGATCTCAAATTCTAAGTGCACACAACTTTGTCACAACTGTTTCATGGGATTCACAATTCTATTGCATGTATGCAAAAGGTAATAATACCTGCAATCATCATGGCAGTCAACTTTTATATACAAATACTTACTGTTCTATACAAGAATGTCAGTGTTGTCTAGCTGAATGCTACTGTACTGAGCTCCTTGGATTCTGATTTCAACAGGTAGATGTTTAATAATGTACAACACAGAGACAGCATATATCTGTGTGCATAAAGTACATTTATTTGTGTAGACATGTGTTACATGTACTGTTATAGTAAGAGAACATTCACCTTTGATCTTTCATGTTAAGACATAGACAGTAAACAGAAAATGTGCCACAAAATGATATCCATGAAGTCCAAAAACCTGATGAAGTAAAAACATCCGGTAGTTGAGTAAAAAACAACAAATTCTACCTCTTCACAGAAAGTAACATCATGTCATAGAGATTTATGGACTATACATGTATATGTAGATTTAGACAATTAAACGGATCTTTCTTTATGTGTTGTCTCTAACAATGAAAGAAGTTATGAAGAACATGATGATTTCACTGAGAATCAAATCAGTTTTGATCAGCAAGACATGCAAATGGTTATTATGCAAATTGTAAACAATTGTACTTATTCTTTTACACACGTGTGCCAAAACAAGTCCAGTGTGCTTGAATGAATGAACAATTCTAATATGTTGTGAACAACAAACTGATTGTTCAGAGATATGAACTTATTGTTTTTGAAATTCTAATAAGAGTTGAGCCAAAGCTAATGAGAATTTGAACGATATTTTGAATCGTGGCCTCGCTACAAGTGATAGCCTCTAGATAATGTAATTATTGATGACTAAAGACCCTTATCATTTCAGGAGCGACTAACATTACCAAACAATTTCTTTGTCTTTCTGGGTCCCTGGGGCTCTGTGGCCCAATAGAGCAATTGTCATCTTTGCTGGTTCATAATCCAGTTTGTAAGTTTTGTACTCACCTCATGAAGACAGAAAGAGTCATATACTCTGTATGGACAAGGATGAATTTCAAAATGTGCAAATGTGCCACGAGTAAGCCTCCACAAAATAAAAGCATCGCTGTCTTTGCATTTGACTTTTATTTCTGCATCTACTGACTCTCCTGTTGCTTTACTCTCAGTGTCGTCAGACCTTGTGGGCCAAGAGATGAAGCAGGAGTTAAAGTGAGTGATTATATGCTTCACTTCACACTATCATGATGTATGAAGTTTGTTTTGTGTGTATGAAGTGTGTATTTGTCTTGCTGTGTGTCAGTAGCAGCTGTCCCACCCCTGGATGTGATGGCAAAGGCCACGTCAGTGGAAGATACTCTCGACATAGAAGGTAGGAACCATACTGTATGTCATCAAACAGCTAGCGCTTTGTATTTTGGTATGTCACCAAAAGCTCACAGAATCAGCACTCAGATGGAGACGATCAAGGCAATTGCTGTATTTCATAATTTTATGTTATCATACATTAAATATACAGCCCTGCTAGAAGCTCCAATGTTCATTACATCTCACAATGTAAAGTGTTGGCCAGAACAACAACAACAACAAGCTAGTGATTTTGCTGTTTTATGTTAGCATGTTAGTTGTTAGTATTCACTTACATAGCCGTCCTGCAATCCTCAGCATACTGGGATGCCCAATAGTGAAGAAAAGGAAGCTGGAGGAGGCGGAAGCTGAGGAGAACCAGTCTGCTCCCAAGAGGAGGAACCAGCCTGCCACAGAAGCAGGAGACGAAGGCTTCAATGCAGACAGTGACGCAGCAGAAGAGGAGGAAGTACAGAAAGAGGAGAAAGAGGAGGAAGAGGAGGAAGACGACAACGATCTCAAAGAGAAGAAGAAAAACGAAACAAAATGCAGCCCAGAGTCAACGAAAAGTGAGTAAAAAAAACCCTGAAAAGTTATCTTGAAACATTAAACACAGTATCAGTGTGCAGACAGCAGACAGGGCTGGAACAAGGGAAATGAGGGCCTCACTCTCAGGTGGATCTCGTCAAACCAGTTCACGAAAGTGAGATTTCCCACTCTGCTCTTTCACATTGTTTCATTTGAATCACTGTTAGATGCCTTTAAAATGAATCTAAACGTAGACATAATTAATCGAAACCTAATAACTTGCCAAAAAAGCAAAGATTATAGAAATGTCAGAATTGTTTTAATAAATTTGTTTAGCAGAACAATGTTGTTGTTGTTATTGTTCCATCTAATTAATACCTAAGATGACAGCCATAACCCAAGGCTGGGTTAGGAGACCTCATTTTTAGGTTGACTAAATTGTTGCAATACGGCAGCAAACAAGAAGAATGTAAGCTGGTCTGAAGACCATCAGCTGAGTGGTTTTTAGAGTCCACAGTCATGCTTGCAGTGTGACGCTGTACTGTCACAATAGGACTGGGCCTGAATGCTAACGTCAGCATGACAATGTTTGCATGCTGATGGAGTTAATGTTTAGCATGATATTATAGTTTAGCTTGTTAGCATGCTAACATGCTAATTAGCACTAAACAGCACAGCTGGTCTGATGGGAATCCTAAAACTAACGAATTAAAATTTTGATGATGGTGCTAGATAAAAAAGATCATCATTGGGTCAACAATCAAAATGTTGCTGGTCACTGCTAGCGTGTTAAAACACCTTTGTACAGAAACCATGTTTATGATATGAGCTGAGATACATCATCAGTCACTTTCAAGCCCCCTGTTAGACTGTTAGAGGCATGAGTGATTTTCAGTTCAACAATAAAGTTGCAGGGGAGAACAAACTAGTCTTTCCCAGTTCATCGTTAATAGAAGGACATTTATTTTAAGTTGAGTTTTAAAAGAGTGAGCACTCACGGCTTAAGTACACACAGGGAAAAGGATGGTTTGGATGCGCTGCATGTTTGGGAGTAGCAGCAGACTTGACTAATTGCCTGAAAATGCTCAATGTCTTCACCTCAATAATGCTAAAGAAGTCAGATAAGGTCAACTACAAGGTCAGTCCCAATGTGACCATGTAGGGATGACTAAGACAAAGCTATGGTGACAGTAACATTTGTCTTTACTTTGAATCCACAGCAGACTGCTCACTGGTGACAACAGAGGACACAGAAACAGCAGTTTGTCCTCTGGCTGAAGTTGGCGACAATGAAAGCTTCACTTCGGAGACTGAGAACGAAACGGAAACGGAGAGAACTACTGAGGAAGTGAAGCCAGTAACAGACACTGATGAGCATCAGCAGGAGGAAACAGAGACCAAGGAGGAGGAGCAGGAGGAGGAGGAAGGTCAGCTGGTGACAAAGGACCAGTCATCAGAGCAACCTGAAGAAGAAACGGGGGTTACAGAGCTTAAAGAAACAAAAGAAGACGAGGAAGAAGAAGCAAATGAAGAAAAGGAAGAGGAAGAGCAGCAGCAAAGGCAAGAGAATATCGTAGAAGAAAAGACAATAGAAAGACATATGATGAGTCAGGAAAACTCTGATCACCAGTACTCCAGTGGAGATTACAACCATCAGGCCAAAGAATCAAAAGAGGACCAGAGTGAGAGGGAGGAAGAGGAGGAGGAGGAAGAGGAGGAGGAGGAAGAGGAGGAGGAGGAGGAGGAGGAGGAAGAGGAGAGGGAGGTCTACCAAGAGATTGATGCTCCTTACACTTTGAGTCCACGCACTCAGGGATCTGAGGCTGAGCTGTCACTCAGGGAAGAAAAGGTCAGCACTCCTATGACTGAGGAAGAGGAGGATGAAGATGAAAGAGAGGAAGAGGAGGATGAGAGGCAGAGGAAGGAAGTAGGCAAGGTGGTGGAGGAGGAAGAGGAGGACCGGGACTCAAGCAAAGCCTCTCCGGCAACAGTGGTTATAGAAGTCCGCTCAGAGGAGGATGATGACGAGGATGATGATGAGGAGGAGGAGGAGGAAGAAGAGGAGGAGGAGTATGAAGGAGAGGAGCAGGATCGTGTCTCAGAGGGCTCAGGAATCACGGACGACTCCGAGAACTGGGATATGACTCGAGGGAACCTGGGGCTGCTGGAGCAGGCCATCGCCCTGAAGGCGGAGGAGGTGAAGGGGGGGCAGGAGGCCCGGAGCTCCCCGGACTACCAACCATACAGCACCTCCAGCAAGAGCTCCGAGCCTGCTGCTGTAGCCCGCCGCACTGCTCACTACAGCAAAGGTACTTCTGTTACTACTGCCAAACACGACAACAGTTCAAATTGCTCCTGTTTATTTTATGGATTAGTGGATTCCTATGTTTGGTAAATACCATACATTAGGTCTAAATATTATATTCATCACTCAAATCTATTTATTTTGCGTAGAATTGTTGATTCAATTGACTTGACTTGCCTTCTTATCACTGGCGCCTGGTCTTCGTACAGTTTACTACTGGTACTAGTTAATGGTGTGCAGATCCATACCCACAGTATCAATATTACCAACACTTGAGGTCTTGTTTTAACTGGTCTTACCCTAGCTCAGTTCAGCTAGCTAGAAGATACTGGTATCATATGAAGAAACCCTAAGAAGCTTGTCGGATAGGAGCTAAATAACGCTCCGAAGTTGGGATCGATTTTGGCAAGGGAAAAACTGACATAGCGATTTGTGAAGCGGCCCCTTGACCTCTCACCTCATGATATGTGAATGGAAATGGCTTCTATGGGTACCCATGAGTCTCCCCTTCACAGACATGCCCACTGCTGTTTGAAGGAAATACCAAGAGGTTTTTGAATGCCGTATAGATGTGTTATTTTCAACCTGTACTGAAAGGGGGAATTGCATAACGTATGACTGGAGAGCTGAGCCTCTTTTGGATCCAATGAGCCCAATTATCCAGTCCATAGAAGCCATTTCACATAGAGAGACCATTGTTTGAACCTTAACATCAGTGTATAAAATGACCTGGTGTGACCGCTATGATAATCACAGCCTCATGAAACTTTACCACCACAAACTAGAGACAGAGGGCATTCAGAGGATGTTGTAAGTAAATTGACAATAAGGGTTATCTGAGCAGTTTACACAACAGAAGTGCTCACCAAACGCTGAAAAATGCAATTTGTATTATTTACCATTCAGACTGTTTTGTATTTGAACCTGCATGGGATGCAGTCACTAACAGAGAATAGAGAAAAGAAATGCCTCATGTTTGGTAAATCACTCAGTGGTAATAACAATGTATTCAGAAGCCTATTAATGATGCATAAAAGGCATCGTTATCGATAGCAGTCCGTGAGACTCTGGGCCTGGTAGTACTTGGTAGTAGGTCAGAGCCAAATGTTGAGGTACCTTCACCCCTTGTTACTACTGACTGATGTGCTCCAATTCATTTTTGCTGCCATCTAAATCACACCATCCTCTATTCAGAGAAGAAGGAGGTGAAGTGTCCAACCCCAGGGTGTGACGGTACAGGTCATGTGACTGGGCTGTACCCTCACCATCGCAGCCTTTCTGGATGTCCTCACAAAGACCGAATCCCTCCAGAGAGTGAGTGCACGTTACCTCTCATAACGCCGTAGACCACCAGTACAAATGTGACGCTCTTGTGCATCTTGTGTCACTTTCAGGGATACAGCAACTCAAACACAGTCCTTAGATCTCTTTTTAATGTGACATACAGACCATTGTTATTGTGATATTTAACAGCTAGCTTGTTCTTACCATTATTACCAGCATTGGTATTACTTCTACCACTACTACTTCCTTCTATTTTAGAAGAAAATACTACACTAATACTCCTACCTTTATAACCACTGTTGTTTTTCAAATGTTGTTGTTACTACTGCTAGTGTGTGAAAGCGACTGACCTGAGTATGTGTCTGCTGTGTGTCTGTAGTCCTGGCCATGCATGAGAACGTCTTGAAGTGTCCGACTGCTGGCTGCACAGGCCAAGGCCATGTCAACAGTAACCGCAACACACACCGCAGGTTAATAAAACACACAAGGACACACAAGGACACACAAACACACACGCACACACACACACACACACACACACACACACACACACACACACAGTAGAACACATGTGCCCAACTAGCACAACAAATATGGCAAGGGAACATATGGCAGATGTTTCTGTGTCTTCTAAAGGCCAAAATTAGGGACTTGAGAAAAAGTTTAAGTTAGTATTTTTTGGTTTTGAGATTAATGTGAGGATTTTTCTCATAGTTTGGATTCAGAAATCTATGCATAATGTCAAAGACATCAATGTTCCTACACAGTCTGGCAGAGGTGCCGTTATTAATAATGGTCTAACTGTAGTTTTGGAGGCCTTTAGAGTCAAATTCTGGAGTAGTCACAATGGAAATGATCAAAAATGAATAGTGCACATTTGAACAAAATATTGAGTGAATCCCAGAGGAGACCCAATCTCACCTAATACTACTAACACATACTTACACTGTCTTTAGAAAGCTGAAATAATTCAAACACCTGTCTGCATATTAAATGTCTACCTATTCATGAGAGTTTTGTCCCATTAAATGCAAACATTTGGATATGTCCTCCGTCAGTCTGTCCGGCTGTCCGATCGCAGCAGCAACTAAGCTGAACAAGAGCCAGGACAAGCAGGTCCATTTACAGGCTTCACCCAGCGAACCCTCTTCCAACTCTGACAGAGTGCTCAGGTGATTTATTTTTTCACTTCAGTGTTTTAAAGCATAGATACATACAAGGTAACATAGTTAATTTATCGTCAACGAAATGTAGTTTAAAGTTCCAGCTACGTCTATGTCACCGTAGCAATAATGCATAACTGACGTCTTCTCCTCCAGGCCCATGTGCTTTGTGAAACAGCTGGAGATCCCTCAGTACGGCAGCTACCGGCCCAACACAGTGACCACCACACCTCGAGCTAACCTGGCCAAGGAGCTGGAGAAATACTCCAAGGTGTCTTTTGACTATGCAAGCTTTGATGTCCAGGTGTTTGGAAAGCGTATGCTCATTCCAAAGACACCCAGCAGCACTGAAACATCACCCAAAGCCTTGAAATGTAAGAGCCACACACTTCACCGCCACGCTCCACTTCTACATTAGATTTTGGCATGCAATGTGTTGAAATGCAACATGAAGCGTTGAACAATGAACTTTGAACATTAACTCTGTAATATTTGAGAGTTGAAAAATCTGACAATGCAATCCATCGAAATTCATTTTTTATTTCATTAAATAATCATGATCTCAAACTGCTTTATTCAAGTTCACAAAAAAGTTGTGTGCACAAATTAAAAGAACATTGAATCTCTCATTTCGATAACCACATCTCTCTGTCCTGCTAAATTCCTGGACTTGTCTCAAGTCCACAGTCTGTATCAAGATGAAAAAAAACATTCACACAATGTCCAACTACAAAACTGGAAAACTGAATCATAAAAAATAGACAATAAAGAAAAGAATCAGAAAAGGTAGAAGCTATCCTAGACACAGTCAAATATGATGTCTTAAAAGACAACAGTTGAAAGGATGAAGATGATTGATTGGGTGTTCCGGCCATGGGTATTCAAAATGATCCCATTGGATCTAATGCAGCTTGTGGTATAATGTGTTTTGATTTTCCAGGGAAATATGTGAATATTCCTCAGATTCTTAAATGTGTTTTAAATCACATTTAGAGATACACATTGCTGTCATTTGAGAACATAAAGTAGTTATTATTGTTCTTACAGATTAGTTTGTAGTTTTCTCCACCTGCCAAGCTCCGTACATTACTGTGTGTTTACACAATAATGCATGACTCCTTTGCTGCCATGCACAACAACCACCAATGGATGAAAACAAATGTGATATTACTGCAGTGGTGGGCCGTCAGTCTGCTGGCCTAAACAGAATCACAAAGTTATATCTATTTTATAATTTAATAATTTATCTTAAATACACTACATGTATTGTAATTTATAAAAATATAGGGACGATATTGTTGATTGTCATAGTGTTCAACCAATCAGATCTTTAGTTTGACATGTTGGGCGTATTCTTTGACGTGTCAGCACCTGCTAGCTGGCCTATAATGACGTCAGCATTACGTGCAGCTCAGTGTCCATGTGTAGCTCTGCCGCGAGGTGCAGAGTGTGCTGTGATTGGTCAGTGGGCGAGCACGTGACTATTGTGAAACAAAACTTAACAGCAGAGGCTATCGGGTAGTGAATCACATCACGTGATGCAGCTCAGCCAATCAAATATGGGCATTCTGACTGAGTGAGATGCACCACACACCATGACACAGGAGGCTGAGCCGAGGAAAGACATTGCAGAGCAGTACGTTCTATGTTCAAGTTGTGAAAGTAAAATCCTATGATAATCTCTGTGGGTCGCAGCTTGTCATTAAGGAATGATGGCGGATTCCACAGCCAGAGCAGCTGACATTATATTTTCCTGAATTTAGGCTTTTGCATTTTCTAAATGCTCTAGCATTATTCAGACGACTCGTACCGAACGGTTTAATACGAAGATGTACATAGTTACAGCCTTAAAAATGAATAATAGCTGTGGCGCCATCATGTGGTTATAAGGTGGTATTTCAGCTGCAGGACAGCAGTGAAGGCCCAGGTATAAAATGCAGGGCCCGCCACTGTATTACTGTAACTACCAGCAGCAGCTCTGTTAGCCATGTTTAGCTATAACGTTACATATAGTGGTCTGCTGTCCTGTTCTTGTTCCAGCATATTAATTTTGCTCCATCCCCACACAGCTAAATCATTCCCTAAGGCCTCCTCCCCCAGTCACAGTGTGTCAGGAGGCTTTTCTATGAGCGCCTCGTCCTCCAGTAGTTATGACTACAGCCAAGATGCAGAGGCAGCCCACATGGCAGCAACAGCCATCCTCAACCTGTCCACCCGCTGCTGGGAGAGACCAGAGACCATCAGCACCAAGCCCAGGGAACCCTGCTCCAAGGTACACTATGTAGACTAGATAAACAGTGCAGGGCACTCCCATGCTCTTTTCATTTTGTTCACTTTATTTGCACTGACTGCGAATCTGAACCCTGTAGGAGTCGGACATTGAAGTGGATGAAAACGGCACCTTGGACCTCAGCATGAAGAAGACCAAGAGGGAGGGTGTGCAGCCTCCAGAGCCTTCGTCCTCCTCCTCGTCATCCTCTCAACACATCGGAGCCACCCTGTCTCAGAGCAACACTCAGCCTGAGTGGGAGGGGCCGCTGGACTTCACCAAGTCCAGTGGAGTCAAAGAGGAAGACCATGAAGAGGTACATGCTTGCAGAAATCACACCACTGTGAGAAAAGACAGACACATATAAGGAGAGCGAATGACAACGTTTGTTTGCCCCCCATATTACCCGTGTGTCACCTTTCTCCAGGTGGAATACACGGCTCCTTCATACACCTCCTCTGATGGTGAGGAAGAGGACCAGGAGAACCTGGAAGACAGAAAGTACCCCGGTGAGGTCACCACCGGCAGCTTCAAGGTCAACTTTCAGCCCAAAGACAGCAAAAAGGAGATTCTTATGTAAGTCACAACTCTTACCACATGTCCAATCAACACATTGCGTGACACGGTAGCTTAACCAATGGCACACTAGCAGTAAGTGTGCACCAGAGTATTGTAAATGTTGAATTGCCCTCTCATCTGTATGCTAAATGATTAGCCATTGGCAGTTGCACAGCCTATTTACAGTAGTTGATTTTTCTCCACCCACATTCCAAGAAGACCCGCCCTACTCTGCCTCTGATTGGCTAGTACTCATTGCCATCCCTGCAGAATTTGCAGAAGTTTATAGCTGATGAACAAGATTGGTGGAAGGTTGGTAGGTGAATGATTTTATCTCAGATGTGGATGGCTTCATGAGGATGGCAGTCTTCTTGTACAGTTTAGTGCTTCAATGTAGGATTACAATATCCTGATTATGGGAGGAAAATGTTGCTATGCACATTGCCAATCAGTTGGAGATTTGAATTTTAATGTGGTGTCATAATTACATGTCATGTTAACCTTAATGTCGATATTGCACTTTGATTAACAAGATCATAAAAAATACCATAATATCAAAATGTTTGCTTACCCCTGTATCCCTATAAAAGATTAATATAAATACATTATGAATGAATACAGAAACATCAACACCACTTAAAACAAAAAACCTTCAGATTTGGTCAAGGATCTGAAGCCTGGTTACAGTTCATGTGGGACAAGCATCAACCACCACAGTCCATTAAACAATTATGCAACCATATACTGTACCTCAAATGTATTTCTCTTAAACCTAATGCTATGTTCATGTCACACAGAGTTTCTGTAAATATCAGTTTCCAACTCGTAGATAGCATGTGTGACGGCCCTCCCACTTTCCGGGAGGCTGAGTGGACAACCTCAGCCGGGTCTTTGGATTGATTCAGCTCTCTTGGGCCTTCCAGGCTATGAGACTGTCTCTCCCTTCACCCCTAAACATCCCTTCTGCACTATTGTCTTTTGGTTTTGCACCTTCAACACCTCCACAGCCCACATACCACACATCCATACACTGCCTCCATTGCCGACATTACTGATCGACACACACTTAGTTTACCAATGTTTGTAAAGTTTGAGCATTTCGTACATTTTAAAGTTAGTAATTAAACCGACATGTAACGAACACAATGCACTGTATTTTTAACAATATATTTTGAACAGTTGTACAACCTCCTTGAGTCGTTAGGTGATGTGAACTCTCAAATCTTTCCCATCTCTACCATCCAACCCATATGACATAAACACAGCATTAGGTTCAGAGTTGCCGCAATAGCTGTATAGGAGCAAGTGATATTCAATATTGGCTACATATATTCTGTTGAAACAAAAACAAATCAAAAAGTATAGTATAAGTATAGTGTTTTTATCTGGCGTGTCAGTATAAGCATCCTCTTCAAAGGCAATGGACTGACGTGTGAGTGTGTGTCTTGACCATAGATGTCCCACCCCAGGCTGTGATGGCAGTGGACACATCACTGGCAACTACGCATCACACCGAAGGTAAGACCTGCACTCTGACTTGGAAATGATAAGTGAAGTATGTTTGCTTTACAAATCTATAGTGTGATTGCATTACGCAGATTTGATGATTCTGACCGGAATCATTTTAGAAGGAAAAGGGGAGTGACTGGTAAATTTGATCGCATTTTTCCAGTTGTATGTGGAAACACTGAAAAAATTTGGCAAAATTACAAGCTCTATTAAATCTTACTTCCTGGAAAGACTCAACAAATCTGTTACCAGCCTGTGGAAATGTAGATAAGCATGACGCAGAGCTTGAATGAGTCCTGCCCCGTTAGATTTCTGTCCAACCGAGTACCACTGCTTGTCATTCAGTACGGCCACTTTCTAATGAATGTACGAATCTAATAATATAGTTACTGTAAGTGTTGGATCTAAATAGATCCCTTTTCTGCTCAAACAAGCCACAAGGAGCCCAAATGTGCAGCTGTGTTAAGTACAATATGTTGGAAGTTGGAAAGCTGGTGGATAAGAGCATAGACTTCTGCTTGAGCCTGTAAAAGCCTCTCTCCATACATCATGGCCTGAACAGAGGCTGGCAGGTAGCAGAGATATGTCTTAATATCATTTATGCACATCAATTTCTACTTGTATTTCATATCACAAATTAAGCTGTCAAATTAATAATTCTTGCACTTGCTCATGCCCCCAAATTCTGCATGTACATGCTTTGTAGGCTGAGTCGAGTACAGTTTAAGCACTGGCATGACAGGCTGCTCTCTGGTATTTAACCCCTTAGGAACACATAAGGAACATTCATTCAAAATAAATGTTTTTCTAGGTATAAAGATCTGCAACAAATAAACCCTTTAAAAAGAACCAAACTATTTTCACATTATTTGCTATGACTGGTGTTCAGATGACATGGGTCCAAGTAAAATAATCTACTGAAAGTTGATGATGTTTCACCATTCAAATGTGGCCTCTTCAGTTCCAATGAGAGGGCTAGAGTACCGCCTGGTGAAGGAACATGAGTCTAAGAACCATATGACCTGCAGAAATGCTGTCATTAGAATTAAAGAGGCCTTTTAAATCAGCAGCAAACATCAGCAGTGGATTGTTTCATTTGCACCTGATTTCATTCTGCCTCGATGACTGGGATGACTCGACACACACACACACACACACACACACACACACACACACATTCATCGCTCATTATTTTTCCTATCCAACTACTCCACCGCTGTAGAGATCAGATAATAAAATAACTCCTGTCCTCCCTGTGTGTGTGCTGCCCAGTCCTGTCCTGGTTCTGTAGTCCAGTTCAGGTTCTGGCTCTTTCCTTCACTCATACTCAGACATCCTGTTCTCAGTCTGGTTTTCTGACGCTCTCTCTCTAACCTATCTTCCAGTCTGTCAGGCTGTCCTCTTGCTGATAAATCACTTCGGACCCTCATGGCTGCCCACACAGCTGAACTAAAGTATGTCTGCTTCTCCTGTCTCTCACCTCCAACATGTTCACTGAGCACTCAGTCTGCAGCTACAGCTCTGTCCCTGCTCTCCTTTTAACACAAATATAAAATAGTCAGAATCAATCATAATTAAGTCCAATATTGAAAAATCAAAACCCAAAACAATGAGCCCTAATGATTTAGTGAGAAAAGCTGGTTTCTGCCTGCAGTCTGCTGATAATGTAAGCCTGTGGAGTGAAAGATCGTCTGTGTGTGTCATAGGTGTCCCACTCCAGGTTGTGATGGATCAGGCCACATCACAGGAAACTACGCTTCACATAGAAGGTAGGAGCTCTCCTCCTGTTCTGCCTGCAGTACCATCAGTCACTCTGTGCAGACGGATACTGTGATTGGTCCTCTTTGTTCCTTCCTGCCAGTCTGTCCGGATGCCCTCGAGCCAAGAAAGGCGGGGTCAAATCAACCCCCACCAAAGATGACAAGGAAGACTCTGAGCTCTTGAGGTGAGCAACAGAAGCTCATTGGCTCTTGCAACCAAGCAGTATCTAACATTAGACTGTCACTGTACCACGACTGTTAGGAGATGAGGGATATATATAATCAAGTGATTAACAACAGTTGCTCACTCTTCATGAAACTTATCGTGGATGTTCTTACACTCTGGAGGAGGAATCCTAGTGTTCTGCGTGACCCCCTGACCTTTCAGTCAACACCACCATCAGGACAAAACATGTACTCATACACGAGAAATACATCTAACAGGCAGGTTGTCATGACATTTACTGAACACTTTACCACCCTCAGAACAAAGGCAGATTACCATCCACTGTACTGAGCACATTCATGTTCTGAAGGTTTTTAGTTCAGTCCATCTTTTCTGTTTTACTATTCTATATGGAAAATGGAAAAGAGATCAATGATAGATTTATGCTATTGAGAAAACAGGAAATGTTAGGTCATTCAAAAGTAAAGTGGAGTGTCAAATAAGCTTATTTTTAATTAACTGAGGGGTGTAAATGTAAACTTTTCATTTAACATAATTCATTTTTAATTTTTAATTTTATTTATGTAATAAATCGTACATACATTTGAGGACATTTGTCTTATCTGGAACCTTCTGGGACCTCCCAATTGACTCCCAATTAATTCCTGGTGCTTTTTTCTTGAGCACTGCTTTCTATTATAATTCTAAAACTAAATCACCACATTTGGACTGATGTGTCAATCTTGTGCTGGCCTCTTGACATCTCCGCTGTCCATCGGTGAGAGTGCAAACAGTCATACGATGGTCTCTGCCTATCTCCAGGTGTCCGGTTCCTGGCTGTGACAGCCTGGGCCACATCAGCGGGAAGTATGCCACCCACCGCAGTGCCTACGGCTGTCCGCTGGCAGCCCGCCGGCAGAAGGAAGGTCTCCTTAACGGCACTCCCTTCTCCTGGAAGGCCTTCAAGACTGAGGGACCAACCTGCCCGACGCCAGGCTGCGACGGCTCCGGCCACGCTAACGGCAGTTTCCTGACACACCGCAGGTATCCTCAATATCTGAGGGTCTCAGCACACACAGTGTTATCCCAAACCTAGCTGAGAGTTTCATCTCAGCCTAATAATCTCAGCCTTGTTAGAATGTTAGAGCTCTTGATCCTGATCTGCTGCTCCTCTCAGTCTGTCAGGTTGTCCCAGAGCAACGGCCAACAAGAAGAGATCCAAATTCCCCGGAGACGAGTATATCACTGCAAAGTTCAGAGCCAGTGATGGTAAGAGACAGAACTTTCCACTCTACCTGATAGTGTGACCCACATGTCCCCCAAACTACTAATAATACCAAAAGACATAGAGACATGAAGACATAAAACGTCCCTTAGGTTTGTCAGGGACAACAACACATAACATGCACAGACTCAGAGACAGATGTGTAGCCCAGATGTAATGTCCTCTACACTTTGATAGACTTGTTGCCACTGCATGCAGCACCACTATGGATCTGCAAATATAAGTGATGTCTGTGATAAAAATGTGTGACAGTTGTCTTGATGCTCTGATTGCTAACTGTGTGTTGTTGCTTTCGCCCAGTTCTTGACAACGATGAGGACATCAAGCAGCTCAACAAGGAGATCAACGAGCTGGGCGAGTCCAACACAGAGATGGAGGTTGACATGATGAACCTGCACACTCAGGTGAGCTCAGCTGCTCAGCTCGCTGCACTTCTGCCAGCAGGAGGAGGATGAGACACCCAATGCCTTTTAAAGTACATCAAGGAGACACTTCCATGTGATGGGAGGCTGTTTAAAATTGATCAGAGGCAATAACTGACTGGAGAGAGAGATGGAAGCTGTACAGACCAGCTTCATTGATGCATTAGTAGAGCTGGATATGGTGCAGCCAGTAAGTCTCTCTGCCAGTTTGTCAGTGGTACTAAAACTGAAAAACCCCTGCAGCCCAAAATCATGGTTCTATTGTCAAGCTCTTTGTTTTGCTACTTCAAGACTGAGTTCTGTGTCTGTCTGCTTCAGATCTCTTCAATGGAGAAGAACCTGAAGAGCATGGAGGAGGAGAACAAACATATCGAGGAGAGGAATGAGGCCTTATTCCTGGAGCTATCCGGCCTGAGTCAGGCCTTGATCCGCAGCCTGACCAACATCCGCCTGCCTGCCATGGTGAGAATACACAATGTCTTTTGGTTTGTTTAAAAGGACATTGGGTTCTCTCCACACAGTTACATATTCCACATGTTCGGGGGCTGACCCCACTGGGACAGTTGATGTGGATATTTCTTTAAAACACACCACTACGTGGTAGGGGTGGGAATCACCAGAGATCCCGCCATTCGATATTATCACGATACTTAGGTCACGATACGATATTATCACGATACTGCGATATTCTGAGTATTGCGATATCATAGGCCTATATTGCGATTTATTACTTTTTTCAACTTCAAATTATGTCCCCAAAGGAAAACTGTGTCAACATGTTTTATCTAATAAGATAAAGTTTTCAGTCTGTTCATCTCACTTCAATCATTTTTATTGCAGCAAAATAGGATTGTCAAGCAGACAGACTGACCAACAATGTCATAAATGTTGCATGAACCTGACAAACTGAATGTATTACTACATAGTCCAACTTAACTAAATGCAAACGTGTGGACTCAGTATATGAACTATAACTTATATAAGTAGGATATAAGAGTTATATAACTCAGTATAACTTGCGATGCGTGGACGTCAAGGGCAGAGAGCCAGTTATGCGCTGCACTCTCCCCATGAGCCTGGCTACTGTTGGCAGATTTAACCCCGTTGTGAGGCCAGATGTTTTTGTTTTGCTTTGTTTTGACCAACTTCCTACCAATCACGCTGACCCGGGACCTTTGCTGACCTCACCAGAAAACAACTCAGCACCATCTAGTGGACTGAAAAAGCAATTGATTTGATTTTTCAAAAAAAAAAAAATTATTATTATTTTTTTAATAGTTTACATATTAAAATATCGATACTTGGCGTCCGTGTATCGATACAATATCGCCACGCAAAATATCGCGATACTATGCTGTATCGATTTTTTCTCCCACCCCTACTACGTGGCCCATGCTCGGGCTTATGTGTGCATGCATTCATCCATTAACATTGATCGGAACGGCCTCTTAGCGGCGGCCTTGAGAGAACCAATGTTACAATGTAACCAAGCGTTACCTTACACTTTCTCCCATTTTAGAATAGAAATACTGTATATAGAGAAACAATTAAAGAATATAAATAATACTAAGTATGTAAAATATGTGCATACTACTACAATATAACAACATACATGTAATAAATAATGTATAAAACAATAAATAACAAATAATAATTCAGTGTGTAAAAATGCAAGAATAAAATAAATAAATAGGAATATTGGTTCAAAAGAACAGTATAAAAAACACAGTCTTAATGTAAACCAGAGTGAGTAAACCAGAATATTAAACAGTTGCACTAAATGATTGTACTCTTATTGTTATGTCAAAACTGCTGACTTGAAGTTTACATGTGACATGCATAACAATGACCTCCTCAATGAGGTGTGGGTGTTATACCCATGGGACCCAGGCTGACCGTAACCACTTAGTGTAACTAGCATGGAGAGTGCCGCACATGCACGTGGGGCTGAAGGAGTCTCTGGGAAGACAGAGGTTGAGGGTTTTTTCAATAGAAGCATATTCAGGCCCCTTTTGGAGAGTGACCGTGTAGGCATGTGTTGTAACTGAGCAAACAGACAACAGCCTCTTTAAACTGGGATCTGTGAAGACCTATTAACGTTCCCAGTTACTGTTAGCGAGCCAAACTAAGTGAGCTTAGAACACACAGTTCAGAGCGGCAGTTCTTACAAAGTAACAGTACAAAAGCCTCTCAGAACTGAGAGCACTAAAGCTGTAGATAAACCCTTGTGCTCAAAATCTGATCTGCTCAGTTTATAATTGAAAAATGAGAGTGGATGAGGTTCTTGTCTTGTTTGTTTGACCCATGAACCTCCCCTCCAGTCTACCCTGTGAGAGTTATTTTGGTCATATACTACGTCATCCCAATAATGACGCGGATGGGCTTACAATGCAATAATTTGAACGCCCTGAGTGTTTCATTCAGACGCTAAAGGATGTCTTGTGCATCCTATCAGACACCGAGGGGCGTGACCAAGCTCTTGTTTTGACGCCCTGGGAATGATGACAAGCTGTCCTTGATCAATCAGCTTTTCAAGACTAGCATATGACCTTTTTTCCCAGAGGACGTGTCTTCAGACAGCTATATTCTCATCTTAGAGAATATAGCTAACTCCTCCTACCACTAGTTTCATCTTCATTCATATTGAGGGGGAAATGTCCAGAGCACATTATGTGCTCAACTGATGATTGTCATTTTGTATTCTATGAGTCAGTAATAAGTAGAAGTTTACCATTCAAACTCTTACTCTGAATCGACTCAAACTTTCTGACTTCTGAACTTGTGTGTGTTCAGCAGGAGCCGCTGTCAGAGCAGAACTTTGACAGCTATGTGGACACCCTGACCCACATGTTTACCAATAAAGACTGCTACCAGAACCCTGAGAACCGGGCTCTGCTCGAGTCCATCAACAAGGCAGTGAAGGGCATCGAGGTGTGACGGACAGGAGGAGGACAGGGAGCGGGACATCACAGTGACTACACCAATCTTTCTTTCCCAACCCTTTAGATACTGTATGTAATTAATTCTTCTCATTTGGAACTTTGTCATCTGTTCTTTGCATTAGTTTGCTGTTTGCATGTTGCTTTATGATGGTATGAGCGTGAACAGATTAGGGTGTGGACGTAAAGCGTGGTACAACACTGGAATGAAACTGTTACTGTAAGCAAGGGCATCTCAAGGTATACGCAGATAGGCAAGAGTACAGAACAAAGTCAGGAGTGCAGTATACAGCCTGAGCTGAGCAGACTCTCTTAGTTAGTGAACATATTCCATCTCCACTTAATAATGTTGATAGTATTCTACTGTATATGAGCATAGTGATGTTGCACCTCCAGGACTAGTTTGTAGATTCATTCTTACTATTGCTGTGTAACTAGTTAAATCCTTTGCAAATGTTGGTTTAATAACTTATTCATTCATGTCTGCTGTATTATTTTTTATGTATGCCTATTTATTATTCATTATATATTTATTATTTTTTTTATTTCCAAATGCTACCTGAGAAGATTTTAAACGGTAACCAAGAGAAGGGAATCATTTCCTCTGCATTGTGCAAAGAGGAAATATTTTAAGATATCAACTATAAATTGTTTTATATATCTTATTATTTATTTAAAATACTGGGATCTTTTTAAGTGCAAATATTTTGTAACTGAAAGTTTTTTAATCATTTTCTAAAAAAGCTTCTGTTTATATTATTTCCCTTTTTATTTTCACAAACTATTTTGAGTACATTGCAATACACTGGGAATATTGAGCTACACATATTTGGTATTTATTTGGTGATGAAGAACAAAGTGATGGTGAATATTTATTTTGTATTGTCTGTGTGTTAATGATGGCTGTGTAAGGATTAGTCTTTAACTTACTCTTGAAATAAAGGTTAACCCACAGTATATGTGGACTGGACCGATTGTCTTTTTGTATTGACTCAAACTTACATTATTTAATTTTTAGGGCCCGAGCACCGACGTAGTCGGAGCGGAGGACCTATTGTTATTCTAATGTTTATTAAAAAGGAGGTGCTGGGGATACTGGGAATTTTTGGAAATTTGGCATGCAAGCAAGAATTTGCGATAATTGCAGTCTGATTGGGGTGTCCAGCTGCGGTATGAAATATTGGCTCGATAGCGCCCCCTATTGAGTAGCCCCAACACTGGGTTTCACTTAGCTGTATGAAATTTGGTAGGTATGTGGATCGTGATGGGACGTACAAAAAATCCTCACCAAACCAAACAGGAAGTCGGCCATTTTGAATTTGCTGACGTTTTTGGACCATTTCAAGGAGCCCTACTTTAACGAACTCCTCCTAGAGATTTAACCCGATTGACTTCAGATTTGGTCAGTATGCTCTTAAGACCTTGGCATTTAAAAGTTGCTCAAAGATCAAAAAGTTATTGAACTATGTGTCCGTGGCGTGGCGGCAAAAACACACCATTCGCCATGAAAAAGGAAGTTGGCGTAACTCGGCCATACATTGTCGAATCTGCTCCAAATCTCTCACATGTCATAACATCCTGACCCGGAACACATCTATATGATAATTTAGAATCATAGTAATAGCGCCACCTAGTGGCAACTGGAAGGTGTAAGTTTTGTACTTTGACATCCTGCTCTTCACAGATTAATCAAATCCTTCTCAAATGTTGTCAGAACAGCCTTAAGACCTTGATAATGCTTCATAGTGAAGATTGTAAGACGTTGAAGGGCGGCGACGTGGCGGCTTGGCGAATTTCAATTCTTTGCCATGAACGAATAAACTGATGTAACTCGACTCCACATCATCAGATCTTTACCAGATTTCACATTTTGATTAGACTCCAGGCCTGAAGACATCTGCAGGCCAATTTTGAATCATAGTCATTGCGCCACCTACTGGTAACAGGAAGTTAAAGTCTTTATACTTTGGCTTGTTTCTCTTAGTAGGTAAATCAGATCAACATCAAATTAGTTCCACACAAATATAACAAGTTCATAATGCCAGTTCATGAAGCATTTGATGTTTCGTCGAACGCCGTTGCCGTGGCGATGCAGTCTTCGCCGTGAAAAACGAAGGTAATTTTGAGAGGCTAAACATGCTCGAAACATAAGCAAACTTGGCATTCATATTTAAAGCCCAAAATGTAGTTTATTGCTTCAGTGTCAAATAGGCTCAATAGCGCCCCCTACAAAATTTCGAAGAAGCAGCCCTCGCAGTACGTTTCACGTAGATTTACGAAATTTGGTAGGCACATGTATCACATGTGGACTTAAAAGAAAGTCTCTTGGAGCCATGCTCTAAACCCAACCGGAAGTCAGCCATTTTGAATTTTTTATGAATTTCTAGTGTCGTTTTTGTCATTTCCAGGCGCTGTACTTTAACGAATCAACTTCAAATTTGGTCAGAGCAATCTAAAGACCTTTGTGATGAAAAGTTACTCAAAGCTTGTTGTTTCGTGAAAAGTCGTTACCGTGGCAACGTATTCTTCGCCATGAAAGATTAAGGTGTTTTTGAGGGGCTAAAAATGCTCAAAACATAACCAAACTTGTCACAAACATTTAAAATCCTGAATGTAGTTATCTGATGTGATTTTAATGCTTCAGAGTGGCAAGTCGGCTCGATAGCGCCCCCTACAATATTTTGACGATGCAGCCCTCGCAGTACATTTCACCTAGATGTATAGAATTTGGTAAGCAGATGTATCACATGTAGACTTAAAAAAAAATCTTAGGGGTCCATGCTCTAAACCCAACCGGAAGTCAGCCATTTTGAATTTTGTATGAATTTCTTGTGTTTTTTTTCCATTTCCAGGTGCTGTACTATGAACTCCTCCTAGGGAATTAATCCGATCAGCTTAGAATTTGGTCAGAACAATCTAAAGACCTTAGCGATTAAAAGCTTGAGGTTTCATTGAACAACATGGACTTGGCGTGGCAGCCATTTTATTGCCATCATCCATCAAGCTGTTGTAACTCAACTGTACTTTGTCAAAACTGTCCCAAACTTGACATGCTTGATTAGTCATGATTTTAGGACTTCTGCATGACAATATTAACTCATAGTCATAGCGCCACCTACTGATAAGCATGGACGTAAGCAGGATTCTATAATTACAGCGGCCCAAACACTGAACTTATTAAAAGGGTTTGTGGGCACACCATGAGAAAAAGACTTCTCTGATCTAAATATGTGCAAACTAAGATGCTTGGAGAGCAAAAGTTAGATAACAGTGGATTTTCAAACCATGTCAGTGGGCATTAGTATAAATGATCTGTCCAGAGCTTCTTCATGACAATCAGGTTAAATGTTACAATGAATGCTTCACACTACAATCTAAAGTTACAGAAGAACTTAAAATGAAAACAGTGTCAAATTAAAGTGTTCAAGTAACAGCAAATGGATATTTGAATATTTGGACTTATTCATGTAAGTCCAAATACAATCAGCAGGACACTGCAGGGAGTTGAACCCCATCCCAGAAAACTGACAGTCTGTTATGTTACAAACACTGAAGCACATTCACACACATTCATTTTCTTAATGATCTTTAAAGGCTTACATTTATGATTGTATCGGATGTACACTCAAAACATTTGAGGCTTAAGACCTGACAACATGATCTTGCTACGCTGCTGGTCTACGCAGGAAATAGCATCTAACTCGTGCATGCAGAGTGTGATGGTCACAGAAATGCATGGCGGTGTCAACCAGAGTCCAGCCAGTACCCTTGACGTGTGTGAAGTTGCGAGGGCCCGATCAATGCTGCTTGCAGCTTTAATTTAAATTTAGGACCGTTTGATTCAACAAGAAAAAGAACCTCCCTGTATGTAATGCAAAGTTTGAATACAAATGCTAAGAGAAGAAGCAGGAGAAGCTATTACCTGGTCACTTATCAGTTAAGATCTTACCAGGGCCAGTGAAAGCGACCACAGCTCCTTTATCATATGTGTACACTAAAGGATATGTGCACAGCTTCCCACATGCAATACCTTCCTCCTGATGTACAGTGCCTTGCATAAGTATTCACCCCCCTTGGATGTTTTCCCCTTTTGTTGCTTTTATACATGAAATCATGGTCAATATAATTTGGCTTTTTTGTAAAGAATTTGCAAATAAAGCTTCTTTCATGTCAATGTGAAAACAGATTTTTACAAACTAATGTCAATTAATTAAAAAGATATAGTGTAAAATAAGTGTTTGCATAAATATTCACCCCTTTTAAAGTGACTGACCTAATTCAACAGAAGTCCAGCTAGTTGATGCCAGCAGTGTCACAAGTAGTGAAATGGAGATCACCTGAGTGCAGTTGATGTGTGTCAAGTGATTGTAGTATAAAAACACCTGTCTGGGAGGTCCAGTCTCTGGTTCATCAGTATTCCTGCTACAACTACAACATGAAGACAAAATAACACTCCAAGCAACTCCGAGAAAAGATCATTGAGAAGTACAAGTCAGGAGATGGCTACAAAAAGATTTCCAACTCACTGGACATCCCACAGAGTTCACTTCAGTCCATCATTAAGAAATGGAAGGAGTATGGCACTTGTTTAAATCTCCTAGAGCTGGCCGTCCGCACAAACTGAGTGACCGGGCAAGAAGAGGACTGATGAGGGAGGCCACCAAGACATCTAGGACCACTCTGAAGGAGTTCAAAGCTTCAGTGACTCAGATGGGAGAGACTGTACATACAGCAACTGTTGCCCGGGTTCTTCACCAGTCTAAGCTGTATGGGAGAGTGGCAAAGAGAAAGACACTGTAGAAAGAATCCGCCCAAAGGCATTGTGGGAGACTCCAATGTCAACTGGAAGAAGGTTCTTTGGTCTGATGAGACAAAAATTGAGCTTTTTGGCCATCAGACTAGACGCTATGTTTAGTGAACACCAAACACTGCACATCACCACAAACACACCCTCTCCACCGTGAAGCATGGTGGTGGCAGCATCATGCTCTGGGGATGCTTCTCAGCAGCAGGCCCTGGAAGGCTTGTAAAGGTAGAGGGGGACATGAATGCAGAAAGATATCGCCAAATCCTGGAGGATAATCTGACTCAGTCTGCAAGAGAACTACGACTTGGGAGAAGATTTATTCTCCAGCAAGACAACGACCCCAAGCATACAGCAAAAGCTCCACAGAATGGTTCAAAGACAACAAGGTGAATGTTCTGGAGTGGCCAAGTCAAAGCCCAGACCTCAATCCAATCCAGAATTTGTGGCTGGACTTGAAAAGAGCTGTTCACGCCCGATCCCTGAGTAACCTGACAGAGCTTGAGCTGATTTGAAGAAGAATAGAGAAAAATCTTAGTGTCCAGATGTGCCAGCCTGAGTGAGACACATACACACACACACACACTGCATTTACTAAATACTGACCTGAAGGGGGTGAATACTTATGCAATCTTTACTTTACCTTATATATTTTTAATTAATTTACATTATTTTGTAAAAATCTGTTTTCACTTTGATATTAAATATTAAAGAGGTTTTTTTTCGCAAATTCTTGTCAAAAAAGCCAAATTATATTGACCATGATTTCATGTATAAAAGCAACAAAAGGGGAAAACATCCAAGGGGGGTAAATACTTATGCAAGGCACTGTACTGTAGTCACGTGTATTACCCATTTCCTTCCTGCCTCCCTTTGCAGTCTTTCATCTGGACTTGGGAGGCTCCAGCCCAGACTGTGCACAGATGTTTGCCAAATCCCTCCAACTTTGTGGTGCTGTATCAGTGTGTGCTGTTCCAGTCTCCCAGCAGCATTCCTCCATAATGTAGGAGTGGGCAGATCACTAATACTTGTATCGATACTACTGATCATCAGTGTTGTGTTGAGTATCACTAACAAAAGGGAATAAACAAAACTCTCCCCCTAGGATACAAAATGAGCATTTACCATGCATGCGATTAGGTAATTAACAACTGCAAGACATACTAAATGTTTGGTATGTTATGCATCAATCATGAACTAATAAATGACACTGCTCCCCCCTTCAAGTTGTGCATTAGCTGCCTTTAATAATACAACTGTATTGGTGATTGTGCCCTTGTAGTACATGGCATGGACCACAGCTATCTTTAACAGGGTGGACTTTCACAGAGGAATCTTCATACAGTCTGCACAAACAGGCCCGTCTGGGTCAGTATCTGTGATTATCAAAGGCTGCAAGGATCCTATCACCGTTTATGATCACTTTATTTGGTCATCGTACTTAGCAGACAGGAGTTTAAGGGAACCATGAAATGAGTCAAAACACAAACCAGTGAAACAATGTCATTTACTCATTTTAATGGTTAAAAAAATACTTCTTTGCGGAAAGAGACAATAGGTCCCCGTTTGCTGAGAAAACGAGGAGACCAAAACAATGGCACCCACCAAATGATGACTGGTGGAGCGAGATAAGATGAGGTAAATGTTTTTGAGGAAACAAAACAAAAAAGGCACAATTTACAATCAACCATGCCCAAATTCACAATAATAATAATAATAATAATAATGATAATAATAATAATAATAATAATATATAAGTACAGCTAAAAAAGAAATCTGAAAATCTGCAACAACGAAAATACAGACCACTTATATTATACAAGACAAATCTCGCCCGTCAGGCTCCTCCTGTGTGCTCTAGCCTAATCGGGCTTCTGTACACCGTGGAGCCTCCCAGTCCTGCTGCTGATACTGTACAGAGAGCAGTTCTCAAGTGACAGGGGCTCCAACATACTATCTCACCACCAGACATGACACACACAGTTTGGAGGGCCCGATGCAATCGTCATGGCAGAAGGCACCGCAGCCTTGGCACATGATCATGGCTTTGAGGCGGCACGAGCACTTGAGCGCCACTTCCTCAGCCGTACTGTCAGTAAAGGCCTGGATACTGAGGGTGGTCTGGCTGGAGGCCAAGCGTGGGCGCAGCTGGAGCACACTGTCTGCCATGCTCCGGGAGAAACCGCCATTGTCCATCACTGACACATTGGCTGTGTAGCTTACTCCTCCAACACCACTATGCTTGGGGAACTTCCCATAGAGCTGGAAGGGAAGGGCGGAGGGGGAGGAGGAGGGAGAGCCAGAGGAGTAGGTAGCTTTGCTGTGCTCCTTCTTTGCCATCCTGGCTAAAGTCATCTCCATGTTGAGGAGTCCTTCCATCGCCCCTCCGCTCAGGTAGCCGTCCACAGAGCCCCCCGGCTCCTTTTTGGTAACACTCATGGGTTTAATGGGGAACAATTTGGCAAGAGCCTGGCAAGAGGGCCGTGCACCTACTTCATTCTTTACCGTGGGTGCAGGAGACAGCTGCAGTTGGTTTGAGGGGTGGGCCTGAGTATGTGAGGGCCGCCAGTTGATCCTAACAGTAGGCACCACCTCTGTGGGACAGGGGTCTGCATGGGGAGGAGAGGGGCCATTAGGCATGGTTCGGTGGGTCGGCTGCGGCCTGTCTGGAGTGACCCCCTGGGAGGGCTGAGGACCATGCGAGTCTTTTATAACGGCAGACTCCACTGCGGTCTGAGAACTGCGGTCTGACTTGCTTCTGAAGGAGGAGGAGGATGAGGAGGGTGGCAGAGAGGTGATGACCGGGACAGCCCCGGGAGCCTGCTGAGACTGATACTGCGGCGCAGCTGGGGCCTCCATCAAACAGGACACTGGGCAACCTGTTGGAGACTGGTTGTGGATCTGCGAGGCTGCACCCAGTTCTGGGCTAGGAGACTGGGCTGTGACCTCAGGCCTGTTGCGAGGCCCTAGGGTCCTTGCTATTGGTGGTCTGGTTTGTGGTCCTGGCAATCGGCTGATCTCAAGCCTGTTGGCAGAGTGTGAGGGAAGAACTTTCTCCAGGGGCAGGCTGCCCTGTAGTAGCTGAGTGACCAAAGGGTTGTTGGCCTCAACACTGGATACTGGTCTGACTGAGCTGGCCAGTCTCTTGGAGGCACCTGCAGCAGTTGGGTGAATGACAAAGGGCTTTAAACTTCCACGACACTCGTCTTCAGTAGAGCTCTCTCCGGAGGCTCTACAATCATCTCCGGGTTCCATTTTGACCACAACGTTGGTGTCAATGTTCCCATGTGGGTGGGCTGTGGGGAGAGACTGGTGGTCCTGGTAATAAGGGCCACTGTGCTGAGGGTTAGGCAGGCCATTGGGAAAGCAAGGCTGAATGACAGTCTGACCTTGACGGCTGGAAACGTAGGCCTGGATGACTGGATGCTGGTTCTGAGGAGGAGGGCTGCAGATGACCAGCTGGCCGTTTCTCTTGATGCTCACTTGGGGGCACCAGTCCTGGTCAGGCTGCTGCTGCTCATCCTCCTGGATGTCATTCTCACAGTCTGAAGCAGTTTCCGTGGAGTCGCTATGTGTCCCAGCCTCGTCGTCTTTCTCTCCACCAGAGTCTGCATGTTGGGGAGAGGATGCGTCTGTTTGCAGTCTCTCTGCAGCTGAGTGAGAGAATACCTCGTGGGGTTCCACATGGTAGGAACCATGCTGGATAACGCCGCCCAGCCCAGCCTCCTTCCCTTGTACCTGCTCTTTGGACTGACAGGAGCTTGCCAGTGTCTGAATAACATCCACACCCTGAGCCCCGAACCTGGGAAGGGAATCTGGGATGGAGGTTGGGGCCAGTGAGGGTTTTTTAGAACCCTGGTCAGCCATCTCTGTGGGGGCATCAGCAGACTCAGGCACCTCAGGCTTTGGAGTGAGCGAGTCTGTGAGCCCATTGGAGGAACTCTGGACACTGGCTGACGCTGTTTCTACTTCCTCTAAAGCCTCTGACCCCCCAGCTGCTTCCTCTCGAGGAGGGCTTGGGGTCTGTGGGGGCTCCAAGGACATGGAGGTTGAGGTAGTGGACAGGGAAGGGGATGGCTGGGGCGTCGGCTCTACATTGAGAAGCTGTAGTTGTGTTCCAGACGAATTAGTGCCTGAAGACGATCCCTGCTCCTCCATCCCACCACCTCCTCCACATCCTCCACCACCTCCTCCTCCTTCACCTCCTCCGGGTTCGATAGGTCCTGGATGCTCTCGCGCTCGTCGTCCATTGCTGCTATCCGGTAGCCCAGAAGCAGGCCGCAGCCTGACCCCGACCGGCCCTGCCCCTTCGCCAGTGGCTGCAACAGCAGCAGCGGCCTCGCGCTGGGCCCGGGCTTGCTGGGCACGGGCTTTGATGTCCGCCAAGGTGCGCGCGCCCCCCGTCCCCGACCGCCGCGAGCCCTCGCCGGGGGGCACGATCCGGGGACAGATCTGGTAGGTGGGGTGACCTTTGACCCAGGGGGGTTTGATTCTGGACAGTTGAATCTGGGATAGAGACACAAGGACAGTGAGTCAAACTTTATCTGGACAACAACTCATTGCTGAACAAGCAAATTATTTCTGTGCACAAAGTCTTACCCGGATAGGTGGCACCTTGGGCTCCTCTGTTGTCGGCTGCGGCTTCTCTGAACGGACACTGTCAATTGTGGTACGAAAGGACTGACGGTCATCAAGCCGCGGCCTCTTTTCGGGGAAGCTGGAGAAGGCCTGAGTCTCATCTGGCCTTCTCTTCTGCTCCTTGAGCTGAGCACTGGACACAGGGGTGGTGGCTGGACTGGCTGAGGGGCTACTCTCACGGCTGCTGGTGGCGGTACCTCCTGTAATAGAGGTGACCACAGAGGCTGTGTCATCCAGGGGATCGGCAGCGACTGCAGCACTGGAGGACGCTGAGGAGGATGAGGAAGAGTCCAGGCCTGCGGCAAACGCTCCCTGTCTATCAGAAGGTGAGGAGGGTGAGGAAACAGGCGAGGAGGCTGACGAAGAAGAAGAAGAGGAAGAGGAGGAGGAGGAGGAAGAAGAGGAGGAGGAGGAGGAGGAGGAGGAGGAGGAGGAGGAGGAGGAGGAGGAAGAAGAGGAGGAGGAAGAAGATGGTGAGGAGGTGGATGCCAGTATAGGTGGAGCCTCCTCTGGGAGCAGGCGGGCTGCTGCTTCTGGCTCTTCGTTTGTGCTGGTGGAGGCTGGGCTGGGGCTGGGAGTTGGAGTTGGAATGGGAGTTGGAATGGGAGTCGGAATGGGAGTTGGAATGGGAGTTGGAATGGGAGTTGGAATGGGAGTTGGAATGGGAGTTGGAATGGGAGTGGGAGTGGGAGGTGGCAATGTGACTGGCTCTGGAGTGGGAGAGGGCTTTGGCTCTATGGAGGCACTCTCAACTGGGAGCTCCACGCCACACTCAGCCTGCAGCACCACCTCCCCTAGAACAACCGTGTTGTCAGACATGGGAGAGCCAATAGAAACTGCCGGGCTGTCCAGTGCGGCACTGGCCTCAGCTGCTTCTGTTGACTGCAGGGCAGGAGGAGTGGCCTTGCAGAGGGTCCGACGGGCCCGCCGACGCAGGTCTGCCCGTGTGCGTCTTCTCATCCTGCCGTCTCTCCTCCGCCGACCCACGCTGCGTCTCTTGGGCGCACCAGTTGCCACATCACTGTCCAGCACACTGGCTGCAACTTCACTGGCTTCACTCATGGTAAGCTTTAAAGACTCCTCTTGTGTCAGACCAGACCTACAAGTACACAAACTATGTTTTAGTGCATTGTAGAAACACTGCGATTTGTCTGCATATCGCAATACCCTTATCTGATGTAGGTTATACCAGAGTAGTCTAAATTACATGGAGGACAGAAAAAAATGGAAAAACAGCCTAAAACAAGCGGTCAAAATGAATATCTACATCATGGCTTCTCTAAGTAATACTATTGACACTAGCAGTCAACTAATAAATGTTAACTTAAAAAGGAACCGACCCAAATATGACAAACTAATATGGCTGTTGTGTGAATAGTGGATTCAGACTTGGATGAAATGGGTTGGCTCTTACTTTTGCCCATGGTACTCTTCAAAAAACTTTTCCTTCCACGCCTCTACCTTCTTCTCTTTCTCCATTTCCTGCCGGAAACGCACCTGCATCTCGTGGGTGAACTCACCTAAATGTGTCAAACACATGTGAAGGTTTAAAAAAAAATAGCTCCAAAACTGAACCTTTTGAAGTGTATAACCAGTATAATTTTTGTTAAAAACCTGATTTAGCCACCCTTCAGCTGTTAAAATAAGCAGCTGGTTTTCAGTTGCAGTAATGTTCCGGGACAGTGCTACCAGCAGCAATATAAAGACAGGACATTCGCTGAATCAGATCCCTAAATGGACTGATACACCAAGATCATGCAGAAGTGTTTGTGATTGTGTACTTCTACACTGTATGGCCTACTCCTCATTCACAACATCTTCTGAATATTAAAGCCTGGCAGAATTCTCAGATAAATGTCGCAACTTGTCCATGATTGACCAATCACGTACCCTCGGACAGCCTTTCTTTCCAGCTCTGGGAGGCATGGGTGAAGAACTCATTGTTGAGAGCCGAGCTACTCAGTCTAGCCATACCATCTGGTCCAATCTGAAAGAAAGCGGACACAATGCATAAATAGCAGTAAAACCATATACCAGAGGATTGGAGTAGCCTACACCTCACATGCATCATATTGACTCATAAAATGACAAAAACAGTGTTTGAGCTCAGCCTCACAAAATTCTAAAATACAAAAAACTAGGCTAGCACACTGCAACAATATCCGACAAAATCCATATTTCTCTTGTAATAGCCATTGCATTGCCCAACAATTCACAGATTGCAGGTCAGCATTCTGTCAACACTACAGACTAATGTGTGTCAATTACACATCAAAGGTATATATATGCATGCAATGCTTCATGTTTTAGCTTTTTTCTCTTTTAATCAACAACAATTGCTACCTATTTAGCTGTTAATTCACAATCTTCGATGAATCTGGCAGCGGTAAAAGGCACAGAGCAATGGCCTGTGATGTTGATTCCTACTACTACACTAAATGTCCAGAACACTTTTTCTCGATTCTAATTCAATTCATGTTTGGTAGTTATTGGGGTATCAAAGCTAGGGATAAAGTGGAAGGACAGAAACAAAACATACCTGACGGTCCACCTCTGGCAGCAGCTGCAGTAGCTGCTGCTGCGAGTGTGTGGGGAAGGCTGAGAAGGTCCGCACATTGATGAGGGCTCTGATGTTGGTGTTGACCAGGATGGAGCCTGGTGTTTCAAAGTCTACATCCACTCCTCCCCGACTCCTCTTCATGGGCCCTGACACAGCAAAACCACACGTTTCATTTAGCCTCTCAGCCAGATGCTAAAGCTATCTGCAGGTCTATGCTGCTAACCATAAAAGACCACACGCACACAAAATCACACTGGGACATTTTTCTGACCAGTGTTTGGCATTTTAACAGGACATCTTGCCTTCAGATAGTGGCTTCATCTTCTCTCTATTCTTACTGCTGGTTGGGTTTATCAATTAGGATAATGTTGAGGTCTGACCAGTGAGGCCCATAGGCATTCTGAATTATTGCTTTGATTATTTGTGTGTTGTTAATCCAGGTGTTCTCAAGACAAAATCTGGTTCTTACCTGAGGGGACATGCTCTCCATTCACTTTAAGAGGGGTGAGGACAACACGAGGCATCATGACTGCTTTCTTCCTCTGCCTCCCTGACTGTAGCAACACAAATAGCAGGATGGACAGGTGGACATAGTAGACAATTTTACACTCAGTATGTTAAGCAGCACTGTTTTCCTGTCCCTCTACAGATCAAGTCCAAATGCATGGCATGACAGGGACACATGGATAACATGGTAAACTTGAACACATGTTGTAATTTCCACTGTAACATGGAGCAGCTTGTGGCTTCCTGCATGGTGCTGACCTGTCTTGAGCGGCTCAGTCTGGTCTGGGTGTGTTGAGCATGTTGGTTCTGCTGCGTGTCTGTGCGTCCTTGCTGTCCTGCTGCCCTGCTGAGGCGGGTCTGGGGCTGGGTGCTGAGAGTCTGCAGTTCTGTGGAGCAGGATGCGCTGGACGAGCTCTCATCCACCGAGGCTTCAGGTCAGAGAAAAACACATTTACAACTCCACTCTGTCACACCCATATAACATTATAGGCCGTTTGTGATGTGAATGCATTGAACTTGGCACTATCTGTCTGCACCAGTCTAACCCCTACAACCTAAGGAATGATGTAACTCAATTTTATAGAATAGAGGAGTTAATGAAAGGCCATTTTTGACTATGCATTTTCACAATGTTTTTGCATGTACAAAATTATACAGGTACTTATGCACATTTGTTCATTCATTAAGGCCACTTTTATGCACAGATATGTAGAAGCTGGAACAGATTTGAATTGCCAAGACGTTCAATAAAAGAATGACCCACACTGGCATTCAAATACTATAGACATACTGAAATGTTGGAAACATCAGGCTGAGCCTCCCCTTGAGTCAATTTACGGTCCAACCCTCAGCTATGATCATGAGCCCTGGGCACCAACAGAAAGAGTGAGACGGTGTAAAGACTACCTCCCCAAAATTAATACTTAAAAAAATCAATACACTTTTAGGAAATATGCCCTCATCTTCTAACTTAACTGATGATGAGACGAGGTACTTCAGGATCTGGGTGGCTTACCACCCTTACAATTTTCTTGGGGAAAACATGAAATGGTTGGAATGAGTTTTCTTCCCGGGGTCTGTGGGCTCAGACATCCAGAGGAATGGAGCAGCAGGTGTCATAGGATGCCAGTCGGAGGATGAGGAAGCCCTCTGTTCATAATCCATGCCGCCCCATCAAGATCTAGGACACTGTAGGATTCAAGTCCTTTCTCTTATTACTCTTGCCAGAACTAGAGTAGTTCTATCCATAGACTGTACATAAGAAGTGGACGTAGCTGCTGTGGTGTCACCCACTGGATTGTGGACTGCGGTTTAGAAGCCTTATATGGGACATTTAGGCCATCGCCATCTGTGATTTTGGCCGTCGCCATATTTGGACTGTGGAGGAGGGTCATTGCAGTAAAGACGCCGTATATGTCTCTGGTAGAGACCTGTCAATCGCTGTGTAGCCCCGCCCTAAAGCATCCCCTGCTTTATGGTCTGTTTGACTCTAAATGGACCATAATGTACGAAATGAACATCATGCTGTATTGAAGAAGACTTGAAACTAGAGATTGAGACCATGAACTCATTTTTACAATGTTTACTGAGGTAATAAATCAAGAGAGAAGTAGAGTCATTTTCTCATAGACTTCTATACAACCAGAGGAGTTGCCCCCTGGTGGACAGTAGAGAGAATGCAGGTTTAAGACATGAAGCGTTGGCTTCACTTTTCAGAACCGGATGTTTTATCCCAAGGACAGCAGGATCAACAGCACTTGCCTCTCCCACATTAACACCACTGAAGTACCCTTGAGCAAGGTGATCCAGGCTGCACGATTAAAGTCTTAAAGAGGGAAAGGAGGCAACTACAGCAGGAGACAATCATTGTGGTATTTGACATCATTTCATGCTGTACATTTGTCCCTGTACAAAAAACATGAAATCATTAAATATACAGAACGTGACTCTATGGTCGATAATCAGTTTGAGGAGAACATAATAATGGAGGTATGCTCATTCACTGCCAGCTCAAGCACTGCACTGGTGTTGGTATTCAATAGAACTCTGTCCTCGTACTCTGGTACCAGAACACGATCTGAACTATTCAACCTTTGGAAAGGTGAATGCCTTTAATATACATTCTCCCCATATGGGTCTCTGCCGGTAAACACGTGAGGCCACATGTAGGTCACCAATGACATGAAATACCAGTAGGGTTTCTCCATGGGTCTGGGAAACAAATCCAATGGAGTTGTTTTCCTAATAGTCATAATCTTGTGTCTGTTGAGAGAAACCCACGTACCAACGCACAACACGGAATTAACAAACACAAGACGACAACAGTGCGTAGAAACACAGCCAGGTCAGTGATGAGCATGGTAGGCTACTTCTTATACCGCACCTCCGCTTGGTAATGGGAAAAAAGAGTTGAGTGTTTCTTGGGGCGACTACCCCACCGTAATGGAAAACCCCCATTAGAGAGGCATCTTGTGTGTGGTGTAGTATTACCGTCATTGTCTCCACTGGCAGCAGCGGTGGTCTCAGTGGAGTCGCAGCTTTCTTGCTCAGTGGCCTCGGCAGGGCCGACAGAAGCCACCACCGTGCCTGCTGCAGGTGTGCTGCTGCTGGAAGCTGGGGCGGCGGTGCTGCTGGCCGGCTCGGCTGGAGTCTCAGACTCTGACGTAGTCTTTGTCCACTGGAGGGCGTTCTTCTACAGTGTGAAGAAAAACAATGTTCTCTAAATGTGTGATGCGCATCAGACGGTTTTCTCCTATCAATTGATTTTTGTGGTTCTGCATCAAGTATACAAAACAATATGCGATTAAACAGATTGGGATTACCCTGTGGTGTATTTATCCCTACAAGCAATTACAGCCACCCATCAATACTGGCTTCCTTTGGTGTCCCTGTGAACAAACTCCTTAGCAATAGATTACCCGACTAGCCCTACACAAAACAACTGAGCCAACTCTTTGTCTGCACAGGAGTATCATGAACTAGAGCATCTCATCAATAAGTTGGTCAGCAGTTGGACTTCACAAGAAAAAGATATTCACTGTGGAACTTGTGTACTATATTGAGTAACTGTCACATATTTTTTTCAAATGCAACTTTTTGGATCAATATATATGACTGCCACCCATTATGATGGTAATGTAAAGTGAGAAAGAAGAGGATGGTGTTTGTGTACCTTGAGAGTGAACAGGCTCATCCGTCCAGGCAGCTTGAAGAAGATGCTATTCTTGACTCGGTCTCCCCTCACCTGGGAGTGGAGCATGGTGACCAGGCATGCCAAGGGTGCTGTACCACTGCGCGCACACACAGTTACAATTCATGTGACTGGACACAATGGACATAAAGCCACATTCAGATCAGAAGACGTGATAGTTCTACCTGGTGCTCATGTCTGCATTACAATAAAGCTTGCAATAACAGTCCTCCTCTGTGAAATTACTGAAAGCTAATGTTGGGCGATATGACCATACACTGCACACGGTGGAAGATATTAACATCTCAACTGTCAGAGATTTTGCCACAAAGTTTCTATTGTGGTATCCATCTTTCAAATAATTATGGTTGTATTAGTCATTTTTGGCCAAATCCTTAAAACGGACTGTTTGATGGCAATATTGGATTTTTGCATCAATGTGATTTTGTTTTTGCTATACAGTGTATTGCAGAGCACTCTCTGCTTCTTTTATCAATCAACAGTCTCTAAACTTTACTATATATGACATGCAACAACACTAAACATTAACATACAAGCTTGTATGTTACTGTAAATACTCAAATCTTCCATAATAATATACAATAATGTCAAACTACTAATAACACCAGTGGAGGAACGTAGAGCCAGGCTCCTTCTTAGAATATCCTTTTAAAATGACATGTCCTTGCCTGAATGTTTTTTCTCTTTGACATTTAAGCACAGTCCAATTGGAATTCAATTCTGTGAATGGATGAAAAATGGACTGTACTCGTATAGCGCTTTTCTAGTAGTGGTGCAACGGATCATGAAACTCACGGTTCAGATCTTATCACGGATCACAAATCGGATCAGCACAAAAGAAAAAAAAGGAGCAAATATAAGTTTCAGAGATCACTGATCATGTGTCTCTTTGCCGCTGATACGAACTGATCATTGATGATCCATATTAACAGATACAGATCCCTTTGTTGTTTGATTATAGCAGCTGGTCTACAAGGATCCAGACTATTTCTTTCTTTATGCCACCGTCCCAAAAATACTTTCAACCACTCTGAAGTCTGTAAACCTTCAACTATTCTAAATGTTATCCTTTTAGGCATCTATACGTTTTTTTTCTTCATAGAAACACAATTAAAATTATATGGAAATAACAGCTGCTGTTGCAGGTCCACTCACTTTGCAGAACAAGTCTAGCAGTTCTGTGTCTGGGATCATTTTATATAATTTAATAACCAAAATATTAATGAGTAAGTGGGGAGATGATGAGAGTATTTACCCTGTGGTGTTATCAGTGTAACATTTGGCATTTTTTATACTCCAATTTGACCTATTGATTTGATTATAGATGTCACCAGCTGTAGCTAACCAATGTTACAGTCACCACCTGAAAAACCACAAAATTGAACTTGAAATAGTACTTTGACTGCGGTGTGCTTCTTTTTGTCTTGAACAGAAAAAATGCCTCTCTGTATCGTTTTGCTATTTGAAAACACAGAAAGTGTTTTTGCAATTAAATGGGACAAACAGAACCATTGCTATGGTAAATGTTGATTGCATCACTTTTCTGTCTGATACCAGACCTGATTATTTTGTTGGGAAAGTTACAATTAATTTGCATATTGTGTCAAATGAAAATAGGCCGAGCACATGAGGAACTGTGTGCCCTAAAATGACTGACAGAGTGCCCCTACCCCCGAATAATGAGAGAAACTTTAAATCAGGACCCATGGCAAACATTGTACCCATCTATTCTACCTAGTAAAACTGCATTTGGGTGCATTTGACTGGAGTCCCCCAATACATTGGTATTTCAAATTATTAAAAAATGTAAGCATAAATTAAAACAGATATAAACAAATTATGATATAAAGTCATTAGGAACTTTGGATCGACAAAGTCATGAAAATTTGGAATGATAGAATAAAGCACCAGTGAGATATGTTTTAATTGTGTATTGTATTATTTACATTGCCAGGCCGTGCATGCTTTTGCTCCATGTTAGCGCATGGAGTGCATATGAGCGTGCTTCACTGGTTAGATTAGGCTGCCGCTCTGCTCCGATACAGCCTAGGTGGTTACAGCTGATAACGCCGTCCAGACCGACAGCGCCGCTGCTGAAGCGTAGCACCTTCTCTCAGGTTAACACTGTTTACTCTGTCAGCACTTTCACCATAGTTAGAGCTGTTAGCATCATTAGCTGTGAGACGCCTGCCATGTTGAGAGCCAACCATTTAAGGTGAAATGGTGACCGTGACATTTTCCAGAATTAGAGTATTGGGCCCATTGTGTTTGCCTTAACCATGAAAGCACACTGTGCCAGGAGCAAGTGCTTGGTTACAGAAAATAAGTTATTAATATAAGTAATGAAGATCTTGGATCCTCCAACCTACCTCCTGTTTAGGCCAGCAGCAGGACAGGTGGTCCATGAGGGAGGAACATAAAAAACATCAGTTACACACACACACACACACACACACACACACACACACACACACACAC